TATCCCGGCGACGTGCGCTGCTACTTCCAGCCGCAAGGCGCGGACCGCGAGTTCCGGCGCGTCCCGACCAAGGTGCTCGTCGACGCGCTCTGCGTCTACCACCGCCTGCATGGCCACACGTACATGCCCGACGGCTTCTGCATCCCCGAGACACCGTCTGCGTGGCCGCTTAGCCTTGGCAGCGCCGACCTGGTCTTCGCCATCGACGAGGTCACTCGCCACGTCTTTGAGCTTCCAGAAGCGTACGTGGCCAAGCTGCACGGCATCGGCCGCTGCCGCTTTGCGCCCCTATGGCCCGACTTTATAGCGCAGCTGCAAACCTTCACGGATGTCTACGGCGCCCTTGACATTCCCATGGACTTTAGCATTCCGGCGTCGCCGCCATGGCGCCGCGAGTGGCGAGGCGCGCCGCTCGGCGACGTCGCTTACAAGGTGCACATGCTGACGCCGACGCTGTTACGTCGGTACCGAGACGACCTGCGCGCGATGGGCCTGATGTCGCGAACTGCGACGACGTTCGCACGCGTGCTCGACGCCCTCTGTATCTTTCGGAGTCTCTATGGCGGCCAAGGCGTCCCCGAATGCTTTCAAGTCCCGTTCAAGAACGACATGTGGCCGGCAGCGCTTTGGGGCATGCGTCTTGGCCGCTACCGCCGGTGCACTGACGCTGCGCTGCATTACCGCTGGGTCCCACCCGAGGCGCGCGACGCGTACGACGAGCGCATGCGCTTGTACCACGACATTCGACGCTACAACCCGCTGGACAACTGCGCCAGTGTCTTTGCCATGTACCGACGCGAAGTGGGAGACCTCGCGATTCCAGCCGACTTTGTCGCGCCGGCCCACTGGCGCAGCAAGATCGACCGGCTCGGAGCCCGCGCCGAAGCGTACCGCGCAGCGCGGACCGCCGGCACCATCGACGCCCTCGACAAGGCGACGCTCGTCGACCTTGGCTTCGCGTGGGACCTCGCGTTCCATGCACTCTGGCCCGACATCCTCGCCTTTCTCAAGCTCTGGGCGGCGCAACGCGAGGCCCTCCACGACGATGTGGTGCTGACGATCCGTGACGACGGGCTATGGCCGCCAGCGCTGTTGCAGCAGCCGATAGGCTACTACTTGACGCTGCTGGATGTCCACGAAGACGCGGCGGCCCCGTCGCGCCGGTGCATCCTCGAAGCGTTTGGCTTCGACTACGACCAGCGCTGGCAAACGAAGCTCGAAGCACTCGAAGTGTACCGTCTCGAGCACGGCCACGTCGACGTCCCGACCGATTTCATTGTACCATGCACGGACGAAGCAAGCACGTGGCCATCGGCGCTGCGAGGTCTGCGACTCGGCGACATCGTCGTCTGGCTTCGCCAGCTACGCCCCCACATGGAAGAGCGCAAGGTTGTTGAACTCGATGCGCTCGGGTTCGTCTGGGAGTTGTCGACGCCGGCATCACCACCGACTTTGACCCTGGAGACATCGGCGCTGAATTCGGGGCTGAAGCGCAAGGCGCTCGCGACGTCACCGCGCATTGTCGTGGACCTCACCCACGATGACGACGACATCCTGGATCTGGAGGATGACGCGTCGTCACCCAAGAAGCGTCGACGCGCCGACTCGGACGACGATGCTGAGGACATGGACGACGTCAATTGGAGCCACTGCGTGCTGGGGCTCATGCTCTTCAAGTCGACGTTTGGGGATTTTGACGTCGCCCGCACCTTTGACGTGCCTGCCGACGACGTCAAGTGGCCCAAGATGCTGTGGCGTCTGCCTTTGGGTCGCATCGTCCGAGCGCTACAACGCAGGCACATTGCACCGCCTTCGAGCACGCGTCTGCACCTGCTTGCCATGGGCGTGCCGTGGCTGCCCACGCCGGAATGAGTGCCGTACCACTTCCACATGCTTCAGTTGGCGATCAATCCTTTCAACTCCTCGATCTTCGACACACAGGAAGCTCTTCTTTAAATAATTAGAACTGTAGCAGTCAACCTGGCAGCGCCAACACAAAAGACAACTCGACGACGTCAAGCAAAAGACTCCTTGCGGTGAGTAGTCTCTTGGCCCAGAAATTGACATCCAGGAAAAATGTAAGCGTATGATACTTGCACGGTTGCTGCACGACGCTCCCAGTTTTCAAATCGTTGGGTTAGCGTACTTGGACATCACACACGACGCGTCATCGACGGGGTTGGGAAAGTGCTCAACCAAAACCTTGTGAGAGTGAACCAACTTGAGGGTCGGAGCAAATATCCAACCCAGGTACGCATCCGTGTCGCTACTCGTCTTGACGCGATGCACACTGCACTGAGTCACGCTGTGGACCCCAGTGCTGTGCCGCTGGGAATAGCCGTACGAGCCGGCGTTCACGCAGAGTAGCGGCGCGATCCTGGTGCGTAAGGTCCTGCAACGAGGTTCATGGGCATCGCTGGTAGGCCCTGACGAACGCCGTCGGGCTTTGTGGTCTTCATGAGTGGTCTCCGTGGAGCTGTGTTGGTTGCTGTTGAAATGGGTCAATTTAATTTAATGAGCAGAGCTCGCTGGAAGAGATGGAGCTGTGTTGGTTGGCGTACTAACACCAGCCCAAGATCGTACGCCAGATATGACCGTATATGATTGGTCACTTTAATTATCTATTTAAGCCAATCACCGATCTTGGTGCATCGCCAATCGCACCACCTCCGACGAGGGGCTGCTCGGTCGCGGACATCGCGTCCAGAAATGAAATCGCCGCCGCTTGGCCTGGTGATTGTTGGACCTTTGGAGAGCACTCCACGCTACTTGCTGTCGGCGTGCGAGGGATACAGCGCGAGCAATTGACGGTTTTGTTAATTATGGCACATGCCACTATTGGTGTCTATATGTGGCTATATATGGCATGCTGTCGTCTGCTTTTAAACGCGCCGAGTCCCACGACCAAAATCGATATTTTTGCTATCTTCAAGCCACACCTATCCTCGTAACCTCCTGTACATTTGGTCAAAAGATCGCCCTCACCAGTCTGTTAGCTATTTCCATCGCGGTATACACTTACCGGTACTATAGGATGGTTGGGGACAACATCCAGGTGCTCATGAAGTGGCTGGCTGGGCTGCCTCGACCTCCGCGTCACGGTCGATGGAGGGGTTGGCTCTCGTCGTCTTCAGTGCTTGGTGCACATCGCATGGCCACAAGCGGCCATTAGCTGCGCCTGCTGAGACTCTGCTCTCTGGGAGACTATTGTATCTGCGCATTCCTACATCCCATGTTTCTGCAGCGGCGGGACGACTATGGCGGAGGGGCGGAGTGGTGGCGGTCTAGCTCGAGTCCAAATTCTTGCTCGTGAAATCTCAACCGTTGTCGCGACGGCAGTGAGTCGACGGCAACAACGTTGGTCCGCGTTTGACTTTGACCGCCTGTCTCTTTGGAGCGTTCCGATTGGTTCACGCCGGTTCTCGCACCGGATTGGCTGCCTACCGGTAGTCCTGGTCTGGCATGCGCGAGACGCCATGGGAAGCGCGGCTCGAGGGCCTCGCCATCTTCCGCCAGCTCAACGGCCACTGCACGATGCCACGAACGTTCATCGTTCCACACGCGCGGCCATGGCCCAAGGTCCTGCGCGGCGCCGCCCTCGGCCGCGTCGCCGAGAACGCCCGCTTCGTCGCGCTGACGTATGCGTCCGACCGGTTCGAGCCCCTCGACGCGCTTGGCTTTGCATGGGCACCCGGCAGCCTTCCGCACCGCATCCCTGGCGAAAGCCAGGATCGGCACTCGGTGATCAACGTCGAGCTCTCGGCGCTCGTCGCCGCCCTCCGCGCCTACACGACGGCCATTGGCGACGTCGACGAGATGCCCGAAGACTTTATCGTGCCCAGTAAAGGCGCGTGGCCCCGCGCTGCGGCCGGCGTCGCGCTCTACTACGCGCTGCCGATGTTGCGCAGCGAGTTTTACCGACTCTCGACCAAGCAGATGGCCGCGTTGCACGGCCTGTCGCTGTGCACGGACCGACCGCCATGGGCCGACGTCCTCTCGCTGCTGCGCACCTACGACCTCAGCATCGGCGAGAGCGCCGTGCCGTTGGACTTTACGGTGCCGTCGAAAAAGAGCTGGCCCAAGGCCTACCACGGCTTTAACCTTGGCGAGCTCGTCTGGTACCTCGGCATCAAGCGGCACGAGCTGCCGGACGAAAAGCGCGACGACCTCGACGACTTTGACCTCGAGTTCAACTGCGCGGAGACGTGGGCGAACATCGTGCGCGGCCTCGAGGCGTACATGACGATGTTCAGCAAGACCAAGGTGCCCGTGGGCTATGTCGTGCCCAAGCACTGGGACGCCGACGTCCGGGGCATGCGCCTCGGGTACTTTGTGGCGAAATTGCGCCAAGCCCAGGAGCTGCGTCTGTTGCCCAAGGAGACGGTGGCGGCTCTCGCCAACCTCGAAGACGACAAGCCGATTCTGAGCCGAAAGCCGCCGCACACGTCGGCACCGGCCAAACCGGCGCGCGCGACGCCTGTCCCAAAGCCCACGCCTGCACCAAAGCCCGCGTCCGCACCAAAGACAAAGCAAGACCCATCAACGTTGAAGCGACGGGCGCCGCCGACACGGGAGCCCGACCCGTCGCCAGAGAAGAAGCGGGCGCGGGTGGACGTTCCGACACGGCGCGAGCTCGCGGGCGGGCTGCCGTGGGCTGACATTCGCACGGCGCTGGCGACGTACCGTCTCGTGCATGGCAACACGCGCGTGCCGCAGTCATTTCTCGTGCCCAAGAAGGACCGCCGCTGGCCCAAGCACCTCTGGGGGCTCGCGCTCGGCGCCACGGCCCAAAACGTCCGGTACCGCCGCCACACGTTGCTGCCCGAGCAGATCGAAGAGCTCGAAACGATCGGCTTCGTTTGGCACTCGACGGTCGGCACCATTTCGTGCAGAACCGAGTCCTTGTACGCCGCAACCTCCTTCACGAGCCTCGTCGACGCCATCGAGGTGTTTGCAGAAGAGCACGATCATCTCAACGTCCCCGAAGGCTTCACTGTCCCCAGCGGCGCGCCGTGGCCGCCCAAGGCCGCCGGTGTCCTTCTGGACGCGATCCCGGCTCGCTTGCGCCAGCACTTTTACGATCTGACGCCGGCCGACGCTCGCAGCGTGCATGAGCTCGGTCTGTGCTTGGACCTGCCCCGGTGGACCGGCCTCCTCATGCTCCTTCGGCGCTTCAAGTCGCTCTTTGGGCACGGCAACATCGGCATCGATTTCCATGTACCAGCCACCGACAAGTGGCTCCCGCGGTGGCACGGACTGCCCCTCGGTGAAATTACGTACGGCATCGGCCTCACGATGGTAAGCTTGTCGCCGGAGCGAGCCAAGCAGCTCGCCTACACGGGCTACGTCTTCAACACGCCAGCGACTTGGGCCCGCGTCGTCGCCGGCCTGCGCGAGTACCGCCGCCAGTGCGGCACCCTCGCCGTGCCGCTGACGTTTGTGGTGCCCAACAAAGCGTCGTGGCCCGAAGACCTCCGCGGCCTGCACCTCGGACGGTACAATCGCCGACTGCAGCAAGCAAAGCCGCTGCACATGCTGCCGCCCGCCACGGAACGCGACGTGGACGGCCTCCAAAAGGACGCGCCACCGCCTGACTCGTCGGTGCTGTTTTCGAACGTCGTGACCGCGCTCGAGATCTACCACGCCAAGCATGGGCACGTGGATGTTCCGAGTGACTTTAGGACGACGTCGGGACCACCGTATCCCAGGGCGTGCCGCGGCCTCTGGCTCGGGCGGGTCGTCAACCTCATTCGAAAGCAACCGACGATCGACGCGCAGCACAAGGCGACACTGGACGCCCTCGGCTTTCGCTGGAGCAAGAAGACGTCGTCGATCAAGGTCGAGGCAGCTTCCCGTAGCGACAAGACCACAGCCAGAGAGAGCTCTGCAGCCAAGGACAAGATAGCCGCCAAGGACAAGATAGCCGCCAAGGAGAAAGCCAAGGACAAAGTCGCAGCCAAGACGGACAAGCGCACATCGATGGCGCCCACGGATCGCGTGGCTACCAAGAGCCGTCGCGTGCCAGACATCAAGGAGGAGCCACCGGTCAACATCAAGCTCGAGGTCGTCCAGAACACGCCGAGAAGCAACAAAGCCATGCCGACCGAGTCGAGCGACCCGGCGCCGTACAGCGAGTGGAGCTGGGACGAGAAGATCCACGCGCTCTGTTTGTACCGAGTCAAGAACGGTCATCTCGCGGTGCCCGATGCCTGCATCCTCCCGCTCTCGTACCCGCGGCGTCTGCGCGACATGCCGCTCGGCAAGATTGTGTCGCATCTGCGCTTTGGCTCCAAGCCACTCTTGCCGTCGCAAAAGGCCGAGCTGGACGCGATCGGGTTTCTATGGCGCGTCTCGGGCGTCCGTTCCCGCTGCTTCATCCGCCCGGCCGGCTCGACGGCGCTGCAGGCCAAGTCCATGTCGTGGGGCACCCAAATCCAGGCGCTGCTGACGTACCAGCTGCTCCACGGGACGCTCGACGTGCCCGAAGGGTTTGCGGTGCCCTCCGACAACGACGCGTGGTCGACGCCGGCGCATGGCATCGTTCTGAGCCTCGTGCTGCCGGCGCTCCGAGAGCACTTGTACGAACTCCCGGACGACGAGGCCGCCCTCGTGCGCGCGTCGGGTCTCGTGACCGACCTGCCCGATTTCGACACGCTCGTTGATCTCGTCGCAATCTACAACGACACGGTTGGCAACGGCGCCGTGGCCCGCGACTTCGTCGTGCCGTCGTCGGGCGGCGACTGGCCCGACGACTGGCGTGGCTTGGAGCTCGGCGACCTTCTTTGGCGCGTCGGTCTCAAGTCCCGGTCGCTCAAGACGGCCCAGACGACGCAACTCGCCGACGCTGGTTACGTCTTTAACGTCCCCGCGACGTGGGCGCGCATTCTGGACGGTCTGCGCACGTACTACTGGATCCACGGCGCCACGACGGTGCCGCCGACCTTCGTCGTGCCTCCCGCGCGTGCGTGGGCGTCGGACCTTCACGACATGCGCCTCGGCCACTGGTTTGCGACGATGATGACGGCAAGAAAGCACCTGCTGCTTCCGCAAGAGACCATCGATGCCATCGACGCGCTGGCAAATGACATCGTTGACGTTGCAGCGCTGCCGGCGCCCGTGCTGCGCATCGCCACACCGGTGTCCGCGTCTCCCGTAGCGACGGCAAGAAGTCTTCCGGTATCGTTGCCGCCGTCTCCAGTAGCGACAGCAGTCAGTGCCCCAACATCGCCGCCGACGTCTCCAGTGGCAACGGCTGGTGCGTTGGCGCCATATTCGGCCGCGTCGTCGCCATATTCGCCTGCGTCGTCGCCCGTCGTGACGGTGCGTCATGCCCCGGTGTCGACGACGGTTCCCCTCTCGTACGTGTACTTGGACGACGATGACGACGACGACGACGACGATGACGATGGCGGCGACGACGACGGTGGCATCCAGGGCTATTTTCGTGTCTAGCACCCGCTTGCTACGTGCAAGGGCCTTGTACCAATACAACTCATTTGTTCATCCTATGCTTACGAGGCGATGAGAACGCATAGAGAGTTTGAACGACGACGCTGTGGACCTCTGCGATTCCCCACGCCAAGCTCCAGTCCACCACGCACACCACGAGAAAGGTATCGCCAATGGAGAGGGTCTCATACTCGGTCGTGGTTGGAGTGCGGGATTCGTCGGAAGAAATCAAGAGCTGCCGAGTATCGAGTCGATGGAAAACAAGCCCATAGGGTACTCACAGAAATTACCTGAACTGCAAAGGGGCTAGGGTTAGTAGGAAGCTAAACACACGTGCCGTTGACCGTGCCGTGGCCACCGGCGATGCGGTAGCACTTGGTGGCCGGGTAGATCGACATGAAGTTGGTCGTCACCGAGAGCAGCAGCGCCAGTACAAACACCACAACGACCGTGGCGCCAGCAGCGGCGCTGGGCGTCCCGTGCTGCTTGAGGTGGCGCAAAGCCGCTTTCTGCGGTGGCAGCAAGAAGAGCCAGAAGAGACCGGCGAGCCGCACGCCGTACGAGAGGAGGAAACAGTACGTCACTTGCCACCGAACGTCGACGTCGTCGCGCGCAATGGCGTCTTGGGACACGTCGAACGTCGCGTCCGCGAGCTTGTAAAAGACCGCAGCGAACGGCGACGCGAGGTTGCCGAGTGTTGTGACGAGGCCGTACGTGGCGCCTTCGTTGCCGACGTCGGCGATCTCAACCGCGCAGTAGGACGCAACCATGAAGCGGATGCCGTCCGGAACCTTCTCGGCGAGGACGACACCGTTGTAGAACCACTGGTTGCGGACGAGGTCCCACACGGTGGCAAAGACGGCAACGGCATCGATGGCAATGATGCCGACCGTCGAAATGGCCACGACGGTGCGCCAGTTCCAGTGCAGTCCGAAGCGCCCGACGCCGGCCATGATGAGCGCCATGGCCAGCGACCCGAGGACGCCGGCAATGGCGTCGTTGAGCGGCTCGACGTGCGCCCACGTCCGCGCAATCGGTGCGCTCGGTGTCGCCCCGAAGACGCGAACGCCGAGTTGAGGAATTTGAAGGCGCAGACGCGCCACATGGCTGGCACCTGGAGCAGTTGCCAGAACGAGTGGAGCCAGATCGGGATCGGCGTCGGCGCTGACGGGTGCTCGACGAGGCACAGCAGCGTGCTCGGGAGGATCAGGACGCTCGGCGCGAGGCAGAGACCGTACACGACGTTGGGTGGCACGTCAAAGTCGAACGAGCCACCGTAGACTTTGCCGTTGAGCAGGAGAGCGATCGCAGTCTGCGCCAGCATCTGTCCGGCGTACCGACTCGCGTAGATCGCGCTCTGCGTGCGCCCGCGGGTCGCGAGCGGCTCACGCTGGGTGTACTCGACCACGATGGCGTCGGCGGCCGAGTTGGCCATGACGTAGCCAAACCCGACGAGCACGGAAAGCACAATGATCGACGTCCCGGCGTCGGGCGCGTCGAGGTTGTAAAAGCTGGCGTTGACGAGTGGCGACGGGCGCACGGCCGGGCACGCAATGTACCGGGCGTCGCAGTAGGGCGACGGAAACGGCGTGAACGTGAGGAAGCCAAGGCTCACAATGGCGATCGTCCACCCGAGGAGCATCCAGCTCTTGCGGCGGTAGCCAAAGATGGGGACGCAGTCGGAGAGCATGCCGAGGAAGACCTTGAACGACCAGCCAATGTGGATGAGGACGCCATACGCAGAGGTTTGGTAGCCCTCCATGTGCAGATAGTTGTTGAAGATCGGGTACTGGAGTCCGGGCAGGAGGCCGTAGAGAATGCCAATCGCAACGTACTGCGAGAAGAGCGCGACGGCTTCGGGCGACCGCAGCGACAGCACGCGTAGCCCGGCTTCGAGGTCACTCGCGTGGCCGTAGCTGGCCGACTTGGTCGTCGCTACGAACGGCGCTCGCTCCTCGTGCTCCATCGTATCCAAGTGCAACTGAGCAGGTCCGCGTTGCGTGTCAAAAAACAGCCAATCAGAACGCGGTCTTCTTGTGCGTCGACAGACTGTGGAAGCAAGCGCCCCCGAGTCCGACCGCTTCAAGAACGTCGCAGCTCAGCAATCAGCGATCCACAGTTGGCGTCAGCGACGGCGGACTCCGCCAAGTCGCGACGACGAGCAAGAGAACGGGCGACCTCCCGACCATCGTTGTTCCTGTGCAAATGCCATGAACGCGCCTGCGCCGACCGCACGACCGGTGCAAATGTAGCACGAGGCGGTAGCGAATCAGGCGGTAGCTGGTTCTAAAGGGTCGAGGCCAACGCGTCTCTCAAGCGTGATGCGCCAATCGGGTCTGCACGGGCAGGCGCTCAACGTCCATTCGTGTGCCTCCATCACGACCGAGCTCGTGTTACGTGGCTGCAACAACAGCGTCCGTGGCGGTGGGGTTCGCTTTCTGCATCTGACACAAGGGAATGCATTCCGTTGATCTGACATGACGCATTGCCTGGAGCTCCGTCTCGATGTGGACGTTGAGCTTGCTCGGTCGTGCCACGTCGAGGGAACGGTCTTGGTGGAGCAAAAATGCAGCGATGCAGGTTAGTCGTCTCGAGGCCAAGGCGCAGAGGCTCTTGTACGTCGCTGCCATTAGTCGCTCCAAGCCTCGATATCACGAGTATAAATTGATAGTATTTAGGAACAACAGCGAGGACCGGTCGGTTTACCACTTGGCGTCGCAGTAGAAGTCGCCGCCGCCCGTCGGGTTGACCGTCACAACGCACGTGCCACTGGCGTCGACGGCGCCCGTGATCGTGTAGCGCTTGCGGCCGTCGGGCGCCGGCGACATACCACCGTTCTTGCCGGGCTGGCCGTTCGGGTACGGGCAGTCGTTCCACGACGCGTTGCAGCTCGCGTCGAGGCTAAAGTTGTAGCAGTAGTTGTCGGCCGACTTGTTGTCCCACGCGCACGTGCCCGAGTACACGCACTTGGCAAAGACGTTCTCCTGGACGCCGAGCGTGTAGCCACCGCTGAACGGACCGAGCTGGACGGACTCGCCCTTCTGCAGGTCGCCGCGGCCGTTGCCCGTGAACCACGTCGCCGACTTGGTCGTGTACTTGTAGACCGCAGGGAGGTTGTTGACGATCTTGATGCTGCCGCCCCACTTGCCCGACCCGTTGTTGTTGGTCTTGCCAGCGTTGGGCGCAGGCGCCGGCTGCGGCTGCGGCTGCCGGCTGCGGCTGAGGCTGCGGCTGCGGCTGAGGCTGCGGGGCCTGCGTAGGGGCAGGCTTGGGGGCCTGCGTGGGAGCCTGGGTAGGCGCCTGGGTCGGGGCCTGGGTAGGCGCCTGCGTGGGAGCCTGGGTAGGCGCCTGCGTGGGAGCCTGGGTGGGCGCCTGGGTCGGGGCCTGCGTGGGAGCCGGGGTTGGGGCCTGTGTGGGAGCCGGGGTGGGAGCTTGCGTGGGAGCCGGGGTCGGGGCGTCCGTCGGGGCAGAGGTCGGCGCCTGCGTCGGTGCGCTGGTCGCGGCATCCGTGGGCGCCGGCGTCGTAACGTCCGTGATCGGCGTCTCCGTCTCCGGCGTTTCCGTCGTCGGGAGGATCGTCACGACGTCGGGCGCCGACGTCGTCGAGTTGCCGCCGATGAGCGACTCGGTGTCCGTGACGTTGGTCGTCTCGATCGACGTGCCATTGAAAAAGTGCACGATGCTGCCGTTCGTCGTCGTCTCGGTCCACGACTCGTAGACCGGTTCGGGCGTCGTCGGCGCCGGCGTCGGAATCTCCGTGTAGCCTAGTGCGATTCCATGAGATCCAAGCGCTCGTCGCAGACAGGTGCGTACCCGAGGCGACCACACCGCCTTCAAGACCCGTCGAGCCGACGGAGGTTTCGCCGGCCGGCGCCTTGGTCGTCGGCGTCGCCAAGCCCTATGCATTCGCATCAGTCACTATCGAGGCAGTGGTGCAACGTACATCGCTCGTGCTGCTGGCGCTGGTACCGCTGGCCGTGCCAAAGTAGGTCACCGCGCCGACGGCGCCGACGACGGCAAAGCCGCAGCCGGCCATGATGAGCATGCGCTTCTTGCGCGCGGCGAAGATCGCGTCTTCGTTCTTCTCCTGCATGACGGGCGTGAGGCCGTTCTCGGCGACCGCCGGCGACGACGGCGAGTTCTGGCGGAAGAGACCCATGCGGAAGTGGGCGAATTCGAGAGTGGCAAAATCGAAGCGCTCGAACGGGAGCCAGCTGTAACAGCGTGTTACGTCGGTCGCGGATCTCGTATGGCAGAGCTTGCCACCGCGCACGCCAGCTAACGTACAGTGCATCACTCGTGTGCGTAGAAGCGAGGGCTGCCGACCAAGCCTCCAGCGCCACGAGCCTCGTTACGGGAGCTTGTTACGAGAGGCAGAGATGGCGACGGTGCAGTGTACGCTGGCACCATTCGCACCCAGCTACACCGCGGCAGCGACCCAGCTACGAACTGTGATAGCTACTGCTATTTACTGCGCTCCCATCGCAGCGTGGCAGCATTGGGTGTACACATCCTATTACGACTTCAGTGGCTACGCCGTTGGATCGGCGGGGATGAGCCCAAGGGTTGCGAGGCGGATCCAAAGCTGCTATAATACTGCTGGCGACGTGGGCCGAATGCTAGAACCGACGGTAGCAACATCGACGTCGTCGTTCGGTCGCTTCTGCTTCTTCGTCTGCTGCTGCTGCTGCTGCATGGACGTTCGTTGTGTCGAGGCGCAGGATGCTGCAGCCGCCTTGTCGCATGGTTCACATATCAGCCGACCAACTCGTCGCTGGATGACCGCGAGGCGCCGCCGACATACTGCGTCGAGTCCGTGAAGGTCCGAGGCGCAGTGACTTCGCTGGTTGATCAATGCATCGTGAAGCCGACGTGGTCGGTCGCTTCGTGACCGCTCGCTTCGCGCTGAGATTCCAGCAAGACAGATGCCACGTGTGTCGCACGTTCCTAGGTTTGGGACATGTCCTAAATTCGCCTGAAAGCAGGCTGAAAAAGGAATGTCCCGATTGAAGCGCCAGCCGCGGTTGGTCACAATGCTAACCGTGTAACCGCTCCGATATCGGTTAGAAAGGGCAGAGAGAATTCGTGCTGGTGCAGGACGCGGTGGCGGGTCGCGCGCTCGTTCGTATACGACAACTGCCTCGGCCGGCATAGTGCGTCACTCTTAGGGTAGCAGACCACGCAAACCAAAATTCACGCCATATTTAAAGCACAGCGTGCAACCAGTGCATCATTTTCTCAAGGCTGCGGCGGCACGAGCGGCGACTGCGCTGTGCGGCCAGCTTGCGGCTGGTACGGGTTGTTGGCCGGGTTCATACGCAGGTTGTTGTACGGGTGCGCGTTGAACTGCGGCCGCAGCGGCATGCGGATCTCTTGGTACCCGCGGTGGCGCCGGCGCTGCGTGCACACGAGGTAGAACGAGAGAAGCACGAGGGCCACCTCAAAGCCCGCAATGACGCCGACGATCGTGCCAATGAGCTCACTACGCATTGGATAGTGTAGTTTTCGGATCGGATAGGGATCGTTGGAGAGTGAAGCACCTCTGTTCGTCCATCCATGCGACGAGGTTGGCCTCGCACGAGCAAAAGAGAGCTTCCTTCGTCAGCTGCGTCGCGCTCGCACCGTCGGCCATGTCTTTGGCGCACTGGCGAAAGGTCGAGTTCGGGAGCAGGTCCTGCTTCCGGATCGAGCAGCGGTTGGCCGCGAACGGGGCAAACCACTGGTACGACGGGTCGGCGCCCATGCACTGCAGCACGACCGAGCCGACTTGGAGGCTCTTGATGAGGTCGACCTGCGGCTGGCAGGCGTCGTACGCCTCGTTGAAGATCGAGTGGAGGCTCCCGAGGATGATCTGGTCGTCCTCGGACAGCAACGCCGACTGGTTTGCGTAGCTGGCCTGCGAGATGTGGACCAGCGAGTGGTGTACGTGCAGCATGAGGCCGGCGAGCGCGAGCTGCGCGACGACCGACACGGTCACCTACGACACCGTCATCATCCCGTTGCATGCAGCCTACATACCAGCGTCGCGTACGGGCAGAGGAAGACCTTGCTTTCCCAGTGTGCGCCGCAGCAGCCGAGGAGCGCGATGAGCACGATGAGCACGCCGCAGGCCATGACGGCGCTTGAGATGCCATCGGCCGAGAACGCGTTCAGGTCGGGCACGTGCATCATGTAGCCTACGCGCGCATGAGAGGACGGACGCGCACACACGATGGCCAACCGCCGATGACGATGAGGACGCCGCCGAGCACGAGGAAGAGCACATTGGTGAAGATGAGCACGAGGCGGCTAAAGCTGCGGCACTGCATCGCTCCTGGACGATCGCAAGCGAGATTGACCACGCGGGTAGAAAGGCCGGTTGGTCGCGTATATTTTTATTCCACACTTGGCCATTGTATGTAGCATTGATTCTTAGCTTTAAAATGCAACCTGCAGCGGGCTAGTCAGTGGCATGCGACACGCTGATTGGCTCGTGTCTCGAAATGGATGGGTTTTTGACCAATGGCATCGCTTGAAGAGGCAGGTCGAGCGCCTCACGTACCCTGCAATGTGGTCGCGGGTCCATCAATCACAGCCAGCACCGTGCTCTTGTCCAGCAGAGCAGGCGGCTGCTGGCTGCTGATAGCGCGTCAATAAGCTGCTCAAGGTGGCGCAACGAGCTAACGCCGAAGAGGACGACGCGGGTGGTTGCAGATGACGTCGCATCTCGCACCTGCGCATTTCTGCACCCAGATTCGGCACCGCTCGATGATGGCCAGGATGTGCAGGGTATGTAGCACTCTTGTGAGCTACGAGCTGCAGAATCAAGCTACGGTAAGCTTCGTTCGCATGAGCCTGCGCCTCTCCGATCGCACCCGAACCTTGAACCTTTGTGAAGTATCACTCTCTGCCATGGCCTGTACTTCATACCAGAACAAACGCAGAACTCGTGCGATACTAGTACTCCAGGTTTGACAGCACAGGTGGCGCTGTACAACGTGGCGCCCAGAGCGCCATGCGGCGACCTCTTGACAAGAGCAGCAGCAGCGGCAAGGCAACCGCCAGCGTCGCTTGGTGCATTCCGCGCGGAGCCGTGGACCTCAGAGGCGTTCGCGACACAGCTACCCCGTCTACGTCGTACTAGTGCTACGTACGAAATAGAACGTCCAATAGGACAATATTATACTCTAGTATTGTCTTGTTCGCATCGATGCCGAGGAGGTCTCGTGCAGCGGAATGTCCTTGTAGACGAGCTGGAAGCGCACGACGACCGACTCGATCTCGTGGCGAAACGCTGCGCAGCGCGACGACGCTGTCCACGTCGACCAGTCGTCGCCGTCATCTTTCAGAATCGGCGCCCGCACGACCGTGACTTGAATCTCGAGCTGTCCATGGGCCGCGCGGGCTTGGAACCGGACGCAAATCGCATCGTGAGAGCCCCACGTGTAGATCTGGATCGTCAGCAGTTGGTTGTTTTCGAGCCACGCGCGGTAGTCGCCGTGGAGGTACCCGGCCACCATGGTCATGGACGCCTCGCCGTTCGGGAAGACGCGAAAGACACGCGGGTGCCCGTCCAGCACCATCTCGCTCCATTGCGTCGGGTGCGCTTCGAGGTCCGAGCGCATCTACGTTCTTCGTCACGTCTTCATCTCCACGCTCGAACTCTTACGTGCAGCGACGTGACCGAGAGGACCCACTGGAACGCGTACGTCATGGTGATGCTGCGGACGATCGTGATCACGGACGGGTCAAACTCACTCGGGTCCATCGAAAAGGCCGACGAGAGCGTCTCCTGGAAGACCCAGTGGCCGTTGAACGACGACGGCACCAAGTTCCGAACCGGCGGCGCCGCCACGGGCACGCCCTAGTCGCCCCGCGTGAACCCTACCCCTCTTTGGATCTCGTCTGGCCTACCATGTAGACCTCGCGTAGCTGGGCGACAAAGTTCTCAAACCCCGTGATCGACGTTGTCCCGATCGCCGTCGGCACCAGCGCACCCGCTTGGGACACGGCGTTGATGTGCGTCGCGAGGCCCTCGAGGGTGAGGAACATGGGCTCGAGGAGGTGGTTGAAGTAGCGGTAGTGTAAATGGAGCCACTCGAGGTACGCGTCCTGTAGCGCTTGCCGGTCGAGGAGCCGCGGCGCGTTCGCCTGCATGAACTTGGACTGCTCAAACATTGTGTCCATCGAGACGCTCGCGAGGAAGAGGTCGAGGCAGACCGTCGTTAACGCGTCGAGCGACGACGAGCCTGGGGTCGCCGGCGTCGGCCGCATCCATCGCGGAAACGTGACGCGGCTCGAGCCCCACCGAGCACCGAGTGGCTGGAGCAAGCTCTTTGTCAGCTGCTCTGCGATTCGATCGTACTTGCCTGCGAACGCGTGCGACGGCAGTCGGTGCAGGAAGGACATGACAGTGCCGAGCTGCTGCCCCATGACCATCGGATCGACACGTCGCGTCGCGAGTGCAGTGCTCGGGCGCGGCGGAGACCCCGCACTGCTACCCGACGACGGCGGCGGAGACGACGCCAGGCGCGCGTTGAACTCGCCGTCGCACTCGCAACCCGTCGTCGTAACGCCGCCGCGGTGCTTTTGGCAATGGTAGCACGCTCGTCGGTACGACATGATGATAAACGGCGGCGACCGGTGGACGCCGACGACGCGGAGCGATTGCGGACCCAGTCGGCGAAGGACGTAGGCCTATGCAGCAAGTGGTGACGCTGGTGACGCTACCGATAGACAAGCGTACGACGATGCGGTGGGTCGCCGTGCGGTGGGCTTTCGTGGACGTACCCACCCAGCCGTAGTGCCACCCGAGGAGGTTGTGGTGGTTGAAGCGGTACGTCATCGTACTCTACCGTGCAGGAGCGTCAATGGGTGGTTGTTGATGGCACTGTACCGCGTCCAACTGCCTCGAGTCGCTCGCAATCCAGTCGCCTTTGATGTTGGCTTGGCTACGCGTGCTGTGGACAACAGTCGCTTCGTCGACGACGTCGCCGACGGCCAGCACCCGGTCCGTCGACGGCTGGAACCGCAGGTACGCCAGGTCGGCGTCGATGTCAAGCGTCGCGTTCGAGACTACGACGTCGAGCGACGTGGTGCAAAAGTTGGCGTACGTGTGCTCCGGGCAGCAGTGCGGAAAGCACCTAGTTCAACGGATATTGCCACGACGACGACAACGGAACGGAGAGACGGACCGGACGAGCTTGACGCTGCCGGCGCGGTGCGTGCGGAGATACTTGTGCTCGAAGAGCGAGGCGCGATCCGCGCACTTGCAGTCGCCCATGCGAAAGGAGACCGCCCAGGATGATGATGTTGCAGTCGCCATGGCTGGCCGTTTTCAAGTGAAATCGCAAGTGCAAACTTACACTTCAACTTTATGGTGCGCTTGTCCCAGCATCTGCCGCGCCCTCATTGGGTCGTCCATCGCCCCACGCCTTTTCAAGAGTGTCCCGTCACCGTCATTGGCACCGCGACTTCGGTTTCCTGGTTCGGAAACCCCGCCGGAACATCGGCAAGTCCTCGGCTGCGTCCAGCTGCGTCGTCTTCGGTGGAGTGCTGACAAGGCGCTGGCCTTCGCTGCGCCATCTTTACGCCGATTCCGCATACGGTGTATGTCACCACGCTCATATCAGACGCGCCACGGCAGATTACTTGTAGTACCGGTACAACACGTCCCGCAACACGACCAAGATCTACCGGTATGCCATTGCCGTGTGCTGGCCCTCGACTCCGTCGCGTACTGCGGCCAAGCATCGAGGTGCCACGAGCTTCTCTACTGGGTTTGATTTTTGACAGCCTCGCAGACATTCAAGGCAGCAGTCTCCTTACCGTCGTCGATGCAAGTGGTCAGACAAGTGCTCAGTGCGGTCGCCAGATTGGAAGACAGGACGCTTTACCGCAACCGTATTCCGCGCTCGCCTGCGTCGAGTTGTCACAACAAAGCTTACTTGACACCACGCCGCGCGCGGAAGGCAACGGCGGTTTAACCCTCCCACGCCACTGAGCTCGCTTCGATGTCGTGCTCGGGCACAGATGTCCTCTGCGTCAGCATATCACGTCACATGGAAGAGGTTCCAGTCCGAGGGGCGTTGATGGCAGTGACACCGCCGACGTGATGGGCTCGGATCGACGAGGGAGATCGGCGGCGGATGTCAAGGGGCGAAGCAGAGTCGGTCGTCGAGGCAGCCAAGATACATTTGTTCTGACTGCTGCTGGCTCGCATCCGATCCACTGCTGTGTTTGGTGAACCAAAGGCCCTCCACCGTTGGTCCAATATCCCACATTGACTTGAACTCGCAGAATGTTTCAAAGTGCAATTTGCTGAACGACCACGAAGCCCTCTCTCTTGCTTCCACTCGACCGAGTTCTTATAGCATTCGCGCTCGCTTGCCCCCGCGATGCTGCTGCCAACGCGACCTCGCTTCGTCCTAGCGCGACTCGCGCATCAATACGCTTGCAACGGCGTTGACCCACAGCGCCTTACGTGGGGTGCAGTTCAAATGGACTCGATTCCAAACCGAATGCAGTGGCCGAATCCTGGTTCATCCAGTGTCTGCGGCGAAACAGCGCAAGCGATGACGTGGCGGCTTGGATATTTTGGCTTGGTTTGAGTAAGCTGTGGGAACGTCGGGGAAGTTCCCTTCAATCTCGGCCATCGCGTTCTATGTTTTCCATACAAACATCCAGTGTAATGAAAAATCGAATTGCCGAACTGCGAGGATGCAGCAGCGGAAGCGGGGCGGGCCACGCCAGCTCCTCGAGCTCGTCAAGATCGCGCACGCCGTACAGTCGCCGACGTCCAGCTACACGTACCTTCCGCGCCGGTACACGGTCCCGGCGGAGGCGCCGTGGCCGACTTGCCTTCGCGGCAAGGTCGTCAACCTCACCACGTTCTGCGCAGCGTACGCCCACCGCAAGCTGCCGCCGTCGATGCAGTCGGCGCTCGACGCAATGAACTTTGTCTCTGATCTACGCGAGCTCAGGTGGGCGCAGCATCTCATGGCGCTTCGCGCGTACAAGGCGATATCCGGCGATCTCGACGTGCCCGCAGACTTTGTCGTGCCCAGCAACGACGCAGCGTGGCCACGCGACGTCTGGGGCGTCAAGCTCGGCCGCGTCCTCTCGAGCCTCCGCGCCAAGATCACCGAGCTGCCGGACGCGCGCCAGCGGCAGCTGCAGTCGATCGGGCTCTTGGCGACGTACGACTCGTGGTACGACACGCTGCTAGCGCTGCAGGTCTACAAGAACCTCCACGGCCACATGCGCGTGCCCCGAACATTCGAAGTGCCGACGGACTCGCCCGAGTGGCCCGACGACCTCTGGCGCATGAAGCTCGGCATGAAGGTCACGTATCTCCGCGCACGCGCCGAGAAGCTCGATCCCGCCAAGCGTGCGCAGCTCGACGACCTCGGGTTTCTCTGGCGCGGCGCCGTCGAGTGGGACCTCCTCCTTGAAGCGCTTACAACGTACAAGTCGATCTTTGGGCACACACGCATGCCACCATACTACACGATCCCAGCGTCCGACCCGCAGTGGCCGCCCGAGTTGTGGCACCTGCCGCTCGGCGAGGAGGTGCATGCTCTGCAAACCTCCACCGCACTCACATGGGACCAAGTGACCGAGCTCGAGGCGCTCGGCGTCCTCGGGATTCTCCAGCCCAAGACCATGGACTGGCCCACGAAGCTCGCGGCGCTGACCATCTACCATGGGCTGCACGGCCACGCCAACGTGCCGCATCGCTTCAAGGTGCCCGACCGCAGCGCGCTCTGGCCGCAGCGCTTTTGGCAGCTCAAGCTCGGGGCCGTCGTGCAGGGCCTGCGCCACGGCCCGCCGCTGAGCGCCGACAAGATGGACGCGCTCGCGAACCTCGGGTTCGCGTGGACGGTGAGTGCCTACTCGTGGGAAAACAAGCTGCTGGCGCTGCACAGCTTTGGCCGCCTGCACGGCCACCTCATGGTGCCATCTGGCTTTATGGTTCCGAGCGACCAGGCGTGGCCGGCGTCGACGTGGGCGCTGAAGCTCGGGCACATTGTGAGCGGCCTTCGGCGCAACCGACGCCGACTGACGTTGGCGATGCGCGCGCAGCTCGACGCGCTCGGGTTCCTCTGGCACGAAGCGCTGCCGTGGACCACGTTTGTGGCCGCCGTCGCCGCTTTCCACGCTTTGCACGGCCACGCCAACGTCCCCAGCTCCTTCGTCGTCCCAGCCTCAAAGGTCGAATCGGCCGACAGCGAAGAGGCCATGTGGCCCGCCGACGCCGCGGGACTCCCGATTGGGCGGTCGCTGCGTCGACTGCGGTCGCTCGTGCACGCCGGCTTCCTCGATGCCACGAAGAAGGCGGCCTTGGAAGCGGTCGGTGTCCGGTGGCGCCACGATGCGACGACGGCCGTCCCGATCCACGCAGCGCTCGTGGTCTACCAACGCGTGCACGGGCATGTGCGTGTGCCGCCAACGTTTGTTGTGCCAACCTGCGACTCGGCATGGCCCTCGACGCTGCGGCGCTTTCGTCTCGGCGCGTACGTTGAGCTGCTTCGGTGCGCCCAAGACGGTGTCGCGCCCAGTGTCGTGCACGAGCTCACGGCGATGGGCTTGATGCACTGGTCGAGTGCGGCGGATGCCCAGTGGACGACGATCTTTGCCGCGCTCTCGCTGGCCAAGACGCAGGAGGGGCATCTGGATTTACCCCCGCGTCTTCTCTTGCCTGTCGAGAGCGACATGTCGAGCGCTGCCTCGACAGCGTCGCTCGAGCCCGACACGGCCGGGCTCGACGTTGGAGGCATCGTGGCCCGGCTCCGCGCGCTTCGGTACCTTTTGCCTCGAGACCGCCGACGCGAGCTCGAGGCGTTGGGCTTTCAATGGTCGTCGCCGTCCGTTGCGGACGTTCTGAGCGTCTACGGCCAGATTCATGGTGATGCGAACGTACCGCCGTCGTACTGCGTGCCGACGCACGACCTGCGCTGGCCTGTCGAGATGGCGGGCTTTCCACTGAGCTACAGGTTGCAACATTGCGTCGCTGCCAACGCGGCGAGCGATGTCGTCGCCCTTGGGTATAGTCCACGCGACGAACCCGACGAGGCGCCGTCGTGGGCGACAGAGGTGGCGGCGCTGCAGCTCTACATGCGTCATAACCGGTCGCCCGACGTGCCGAGCGACTTTGTCGTGCCAAGCGACGACGACTCCTCGTGGCCACCGGCGCTGTGGCGCCTGCCCCTCGGCGCCCTCGCGCTCACGTGGCACGCGTCTGAGCCCTATCTCTCGCACGCCCAGTGGCGCGACCTGACCGACGCCGGGTTCCTGTGGGCGCCCCTGGATGTCGACTACGATGTCGCATACGCTGCGCTGGCAACCTACGCGCGCCTCTCGACGCCGTGGCGGGACGTGGATTGGGCGTTCAGCGTGCCGACGGGCGACGCAGCGTGGCCGAGCGAGACGTGGGGTCTCCGCCTCGGCTTTCTCGTGGCCAAGCTGCGCGCCAACGACGTGCTCTTGCTCCCGAACGAGTGGATGGCGATCGAAGCGCTCGGTGTGCTCGATGTAGAGCAGTCAAAGTAGTTACAGTGTTAGTGTAATAAATAGGACAACGCGAGTTACGTCGCGCCAAAAGCATGTTCACAGAGCCATTCCAAGCGGTCTTTCGTCAAGCGTACTTGGCCACATCGCAGATGGTCGACGACGGCGCCGAGGTCCAAGCCCCAGAGCTCGGACGGCCAAGAGACGCCATCGGACGGCACCACATAGTGCGGCGGCACGTCCACATGGCCAAAGACGTCGTAGTAAGCCTGCAGACCGCGGAACCAGCGGGCGTCCAAGGCGGGTCGGTGCACGAAGCGGAGTTTCCCGAGGGGTAGGGTCCAGAGCGCCGACGGCCAGCGCAAGTCGTCTTCGGGCACTGTAAACGTCGGTCCCAAGACGCGGTGGCCGCAGATTTGCTCGTAGACGTCCCAGGCGGCAGCAATCTCGGCGTCACTCCAATCGTCGTCGGTCCATCGGAACTGCAGCGCTTGCAGCCGGTCGCACACATCGTCTGGCACGGACGCGCGGCTCGCGCGGATAAGGGCCACCTGGCGTCCGAGGTCCATGCCGCCGACGGTTCGCGGCCACTGCTCCTCCTCGTGCGTCGGGATGCGGTACGACGACGGGACGTTCACGTGGCCATGGTGCGTGGCAAAGGCGTCCAATGCAGTGAGGAACCGGTGCGCCGAGGCCCTCGGTTCGTAGTAGACGCCGGCCTCGTGCAAGGCTGCGAGCGTCGAGACGTCGCCGGCTGCGATGCGCGCGACGGCGTTGGCCCAAAAGACGCCGAGCGGGAGGTACCAGAGGTTCTCGGGCCACGCTGGCGACGCTGGCACGACAAAGGCGCGCGGGATCTCGTACGACGCGTCGGCGATCAGCTGGTGGTACGTGGCGGCACCAGAGAGCACGATCGCTGTTTCGTGCTCGAGGCTCGTGTTGAAGAGGAAGCCGAGGCGCCGCAGCTCGTCGCGCTGCGCGGGTGACAGCTCGACACTGCGCAGGAGGCCCGTAATGTGCCCGAGCTTGACGTTGAAGACGATCTCCGGCCACGGCGCAGCCTCCGGTACGACAAAGTCATCGGGCACGAGGACGTGTCCGTGGAGCTGCTTGTACACGGTGAGCGCGTGCATGTTGGTCTCCCACTGCGCGACGAGCTGCTGGCTCGTGCGGGGACACCAGACGAAGCCGAGGTCCTGGAGCTGCTGTCGTCGCCCTTCCGTGAGCGCGGCCTGGCCCTTGATGCGGATGTTCGCCACGACCTTTCCGAGCTTGATCGTCCAGAGCGCTTGCGGCCATGCGCTGTCGTGCGATGGCACTTCAAACTCGGGCGGCACGTTGCAGTGGCAGTGTAGTCGGCGGTACGTGGCGAGCGCAGCGACCTTGAGATCCCATGGCACCGCCGTCGTCTTCCACGAGTAGCCGAGATCCGTGAGCGCGGCCTTCTGCTCGGGCGACAGCGTGTCGGCGCGGTTGCGAAAGTTGGCGGCGGCGGACCCGAGCCTCATGCCACACGTGTCGGGTGGCCACGCCGGGTCGTCATGTGGCACGACAAAGGAGTTGGGCACCTTGACGTGGCCGTGCAGCCGGTGGAAGGTCTGCATCGCCAGCAGCTTGGCCTCCCAGCTCTGCCGCCGGCGCCGGACGAGAACGACGGACGGGGCCGCGGCTAGGTCCCGCTTGCTGCGCATTCGGTCCTGGAATCGACTCGTCCGTGGTAAGTGCGATCAAATATTGCAATATTCCTAAGCGCACCGAGCCTTTGCCCAATATATATTGAAACATGCTATACCGTCTCCAAACGCCGGGCAAAGCGAGGCCGTACTCCCGAACCCCGGCGTGTGTACTAAGAGGCAAATAGGGAACTGGATAGGCTAGTGACTGCTGGAGCCCTGGCCACAGGCTCCTGTACAGTCCCATCCGAACGGTTTCTCGGTAGGACTATCTGACTGATAGATTGATACAAACACATCGGCCTAGTGGTGGTAGAGCTGTGCCGATACAAATACCAGTGCTCAACCACTGTATGAGGCGTCTACTGCCACACACCCTCGCCACTCGTTCTGCAGTCGAGGCCGTTCGAGCTCTCGGTGCCGTCCTTGGACGCAGCGATGCTTTCCACATCGCGGTGCCGGAGCTACTCGCCGTGTCACATGCCACCACTAGACCATATTGCACACAAACAGATAATATATTGCACACAACCAACGGACAATATTGCACACAACCAACGCGCGGATACTATTTCGACAGGTGCGATCTCAGCCGAGGACGAATGCGAACCCAAGGCGCTCGAGACGCGTGGCGTCGGAGCGTCGCAGCGGCACGCGCCCGGCTCGAATGTGGCAGAGGACGTCGCCGAGCGGGTAGTCCCCGAGCTCTTCGGGCCACTCCCAGGCTTGCGTCGGTACGACAAAGGCGGCGGGTACATTGACATGGTAGAAGGTCGCCCGGTACGTCGACAGCGCAAGGAGGCAGAGGCTCCAGTTGACAACGATGTCGGGGGGCGGGGCCCTCGACCGCTGAAGCGCGGCGCCGAGTCGCAGTCGACGCACGTCGGCGGGCCACGTGTCGTCGTCTGGGATCACAAACGTCGGGCTCACGTGCTCATGGCCAGTGCGACGCATGTAGGCCGCGAGCCCTTCCTCCACGAGCTCGGCGGGAGGCCGATGAATGGAGCAGCGACGGGTTGTCGCAGACGCGTGCCAGTGCGCGCCAAGCGGAACGTCCCACGCGTCGGGGGGCCACTGCGCGTCGTTGGATGGCACGACGAACGATCGCGGGATGTTCATGTGCCCAAAGTTCTTGTAGAAAACGTGGCACGCCCGGAGGAGCGGTATCGACGGAGGCAGTGACGCGGTATCGTCCGGCTCAAACAGCTCCTGTCCGTCAAGGGACGTCGCGTTGGCCTTGGCAGCATCAAAGTCGCTTGTGTCGTCGACATCGATGCCAGCGTCGTCGTTCTCGGACGGCGTTGGACTCGGCACTGGCTCGTCCGACATCGAGGAGGCGCTCTCCGGTTCAGCGAGGCTGGCAGTAGCCAACATATTGCGGCGCAACGGCGACGGGACCACGGGACTTGGACTCTCGTTGTCATCAGGCGTCACGTCCCGAGGCAGTGGCCGAGCCGGCGGCTCCATTAATGGAACGCTGCTGGCCGTTCGTTTTCGTGACACAACCAACGGCGTGTCTGCGCTAGACCCCGACGACGACATGCGATGATGCGCTCGGGGTGTTTTTCTTGCCGTCGCGGCGAGTGGTTTCAAGGGCGCCATCGGCGTGGCGCTTGGTCGGGGCGGGCTCAACGGACTCGGCAAGATCTCGCCGTCCTCGTAGCGTCTCGGGTTGGCCGATGCGAAGCCAAGGCTTAGAAGCGACTGCTGGACGTGCGGCACGAGACGCGCCAAGTGGTCGCGGCAAACGCGGGCAAAGAAGCCGAGCGGCATCCCGAGCAAGCTGCGCACCCACTTGCCGCCGACGGTTGGGATCGTATAGAGCAAGGGAACCTCGCTGTGGCCGAACCGGCCTCGGAACTCGTCGAGCGCCGAGACGACGACGAACCAGTTGTAGCGAACGTGCTGGAGCGACGGCGGCGGCACGCCGGGAACACCGAGCGCGGCAAGCAGGTCGGCGTGCACCGCCGTCATGCGTCGCAGGTACACGCGCTGCTTGGCCAGCAGCGCGCCGAGCGCCAGTTGCCAGAGCCCTTCGGGCCACGGAGCGTGCGATGGGATCACAAACGTTGGCGGTACGTCCGCGTCGGCGTCGACCAGCAGCTTGTACTGCGCGAGACCGGCGTCGACGTCGCCAAAGTCGATGGCGATCCACTCAAAATGGCGTCCGTCCAGCTCGGCCTTGCGCGCCGCATGGATGTGGGCTTGGCACTGGCGGATCCACTGCACCATGAGCCCGAGCGGCAAGTGGTGCGTCTGCGGTGGCCACGGCGGCGCGTCCGGCACGACGAACGAGGGCGGGACGTGGAGATGCTGGAATACAGCGTCAAACATCGAGAGCGCGTCGAGTTTGGCGGCCCAGCGCGTCGTCGCGTCGAAGCCGAGCTTTTTGAGCCGGTCTTGGTACCAGCGCGTGGCAAAGCCGTCGTGGATCTCGAGAAGCGTCCAGTAGTAGCCACACGGACTGTCGTTGAGCGACGAGAGCGCAGCAGTCTCGGGCAGCGGGCTTGGTGTCGCCACGACGGCATCTTCGAGCGTCGGCCAGAGCTCGTGCGCCCAGAGGTCCCATACGAACCCGAGGGCGTCGAGGGCGTCGGTTCGCACGGCGTCCACGTCTCGGCGGCGGCGTCGCAGCGACAGCACCTGGTCGCCGAGCGGATACAGCGCCAGCGACGGCTCGGTGCTCTCGAGCACATAGTCCTCGGGTACGAGGAGGTGGCCGAACCGGTTATGGTACTGCCGCAGCGCCGCAAGCCGCGCCTTCCACTCGCACGCTTCGTCGAAACGCTCGATGGTTGCCGTCCAGACGTCGTCACGTGGCGTCGGCGCGGCATCGGCGGGCGCGTCGTCGTCGTCGTCGCACACGACGCTTGTTGCGCGACTGCGAAGCCATTTCAGCGTCTGCGCAGTCGCACGCGGTAGCAGCTGGAGGCGATCTGCCTCGACGAGACGCTCGGCCCAGTACCCGAGGTGGATGTCGCCGCAAATGTAGTCGGGCGGCACGTGCACGTGGCCAGCGGCGTCGGCAAAGGCTTCCAGCGCAGAGACGATGGCGGCCCACGAGGCGTCCGAGCAAAGCTCCATGTCGAGCTCGGCCAGCTGCCGCTTGCACGACCGAGGTAGGAGCGGTTCGCGGACACCAAGCGTCCATGCGATGTCGCCGAGCTTGACGCCATGGCTCTCCACGGGCCATGTCATGTCGTCCGACGGAATTACAAAATGCACGGGCACCGCACTCGCATCGAAGCGTTCAAGGTAGTCCCGTAGCAGCGCCAGCAGCGAGGCCCACGGCGGCACGCCATGAAGGAGCCCGAGGGCGCGGGCGTCGGTCGCGTCGTCGTCGAGGAGCTCGTACGCGTGCACGGCGAAGGAGGGCAGCGTGTGTGCGAGCATGAGCCCTTCGTGCGCCCGTATCCACGGCCGGCTAAAGGGCGGTACGACAAAGTCGGTCGGAATTTCGAGTGACCCGTAGAGGTCCCGGTACAGGCGCAGCGCGCCGAGAACGACGACGGCCGGTCGAGCGACCGCGGCTTCGCGCCGGCCGCTGGTCAGTGGCGGCACCACGATGCAGCGGATGTGGCCGCGCTTGGACGTCCAAGCAAACCCAATCGCATCGAGGAGCTGGCGCTGCTGGAGCATCGCTGGCGACGCGCGGACCTGCGCGATGACCGCGCCGAGGCGCAAGCCGTGGAGGTGCTCTGGCCAGAGCTCGGTCGACGGCACAATGTACGAGGCAGGGACGTTGCACGACCCAAACACAGCCCGGTACGTCGCAATCGCTTCGAGCGTAAAGTCAAACGGGACGTTGATCTCGAGCGGCTGCACCTTGATATTAATCTCGTCCTTGACCGGCGCTGGAACCTGGATCCGCCGGCGCTGTCGCGGCCCAAGAGCTGGCTTCTTCGCCCGGCGCGGACCGGGCGTGAAATCGTCTTCGCCGCTGCTATCGCCCGAGCTATCGCTCTCAAAGCCGTAGATGACCGAGAGGTCCATCGCCGGCAGCTCGCCGGGTTCGATTGTCTCCTCTGGCGAGTCGTCAATGTAAACGTACGGGTCGGCGCCGTCGACCTCGGACTCGCTGCCTTCGACCTCGGACTCGCTGCCGTCGTCGTCGCCTGGCTGCACAACCATAGAGCGGGCGCGGACGATGGCCGGCGCGGCTGGCGAGCTGGGCATGCTCTCGTCGGACGAGGACTCGTCGCTCGAGGACTTTGCATGGATCGCGCAGAGGTCGCGGAGGTCGTCCATCCGAGGCGACGCGGCCACCGAAAACCTAAATTTCAGGATCGCTGCCTCAAACAGCCACATTTACCCACCACAATTAGCCACCATTAGCCACAATTAGGTCCTCCGCGTCTGCAGGCGAGATGACAATCTTGCAACAGAGGATGCCTAGTCCTATATCTATATAACAACCAAAAAAGCAAGTCTTTCGACGACACTACGCCATCGTCGGCGGTGGCGCGTCGACCAGTCCGTACTGCGTTGCTACCTGCAGCACCTCGACCTCGTGCTCGACAAGGTACTGTTGGCAGCGCTCTTCGACGACCATGGTCGCCACGTCGACGGGCCCTGCGACGAAGGACTGCCGCACCGACACGTCGAGCGTCCGAGACGCGAGCGAGAGCTGCAAGAGGACCATGTAGCAGACGCGGCTGCCGTCGCTGGGCCACCCGTAGAGCTTGAGGGAGAGCGTGTCTGCATCGAGACGCATGGCCACGTAGTCGCCGTGCTGCAGCTGCGAGATGGGCGCCATCGACGATTCGCCGTTGGGAAACACTCGGAAGACGCGGGGCTGAGCATCCAGCACAAACTCGGACCACACTGTCTCGAACGCGTGGAGGTCCGAGCGCACCTAGTCGTCGTTCGATGCGTCGGTGTTGGTGTAGTAGTACCTGCAGCGCGACGTCCGTGACGCGGAGGTGGAAGCTGTAGCCCATAATGACGACCCGGAGCAGCGAGACCACGGACGGATCCAGGTCCGGGTTCGAGTCCATGTACCGGTGCCCAAGGACCTTGTCGAGGATCCAGTGCGCCGAGTACGTCACGGGCGACGCCATTTGGGTGCGCAGCGATCCGTCGGCCTAGACATGATTCCATTTCGAGTCAAGTTTGTATCCAGCACACAGGGTACCATGTAGACTTCGCGGAGCTGGGCCACGTAGTAGTCGAACCCAGCCGTGTTGGCCGTCTCGGGCGCGTCGAGCCCGTCGAGGTAGAGGCGCGTCGCGTGGAGCTCGGGCACGGAGCTAACCGCGTGCGCAATGTGACCCGCGACGTGTCCGAGGTGCGAGCCGAGGGCGCCGAGGCGGGCGTTCAAGAGGTGGTAGTAGTTGCTGAGCCACGCCACGTACGACTGGCCGAGGTCGGCGCGCACAAAGAGAAAGCCCGTGCTCTGCGTAAACTGCTGGACGTTCTGCGAGAGCACGTCAAAGGCGCCGAGCGTCGCGAGCAGCAAGTCCACGGCGCACGACTTGAGCGAAATCAAGTCGGGCGCGACGGACGAGAGGACCGGTCGCCGCGTCGGGAGCATCGGGACCGCCATCGCGCGCTTGCGCGACGCCGAGAAGCCGAGGCGGTCGCCGAGCGGCAAGATGAGGCTTTTGGCCAACCGCGCCTCGACCGCGTGCAGTTGCGCCGCAAAAGCGTGAGCCGGCGGCAGCTGCAAGAGGCCAAAGAGGATCGCAAGCTGCCGCTCCATCGTGTGTGGGTCCAGGAGAGCTCGGGTCGGCGGCGCCGGTGACCGGGCCGGCGTCGAGCGCATGGGCGACGACTCAATCGAGAGACCCTGCACGACGTTGAACTCGCCTTCGCACTCGCAGAGCGCCGGCGTCGCGTTCGTGGCGCCGTCACCGTCACTCTCGCGGTGCTTCTGGCAATGGTAGCACGCTCGGCGGTACGACATGACAATGAACGGCGGCGAGACGGTCACCGCCAGCACGACCAAGGACGCGCCCGTCTTCCGCAAGAGGTAGCCCTGGTCAAGCGTCCAGCATATCATACCAGAATGCTGCAACGACGTACCACGACTTGGTGCGTGCACGTGCGGTGGGCCTTGGTCGACGTGCCCATCCAGCCGTAGTGCCACCCGAGGTTGTTCTTGTGGTTGAAGCGATACGTCATCGTTTGCGTCGCCTAGCATAATATGGCGCATCAAGGCACGGCAGAGGTGCGATGGACGCTTCTACCTTGTTGTAGTACTGGTACTCGCTCGGGATCCACTCGGCCTTGTTGTCGTCGTACCGGCGGAGGTGCAAGAGCACGTCCTGCGCATCGAGCTCGTCGCCGACCTTGTACACAAACTCGGACGTCGTCTGGAAGCGCAGCACGGCCACGTCGCTCTCGACGTCGGGCGGCGCGTTCGTCGCGCGGAGGTCGATCGACGTGGCGCAAAAGTTGGCGTACGAGTGCGACGGGCAGCAGTGCGGAAAACACCTACCGACGACGCTCGCCTCGGTTCGCCGTCAATAGAGAACACGTACCGAATGAGCTACGCGACGGAGGCCATGGCGGCGCCACATGAGTCCCATGCCAGGAGGCGGCGACGACGTACCTTGACGCTGTTGGCGCGGTGCGTCCTAGCCGTCGCCGCCACCGTGAAGGGCCCGTCCAGTGGGTGCAAACGGTCTTACCGGAGGTACTTGAGGTCGAAGAGGGGTCGGTTGCATCGGCAGTCCTCCTTCTCGAAGGCCAGCGTCGGCGGGTCCATCGCTGCGGATGCTGCAGGAACAATGACCTCTTCTCCCGGCGGCGAATCCGGATACGCCGGATACCGACGCATACAATTCCTCACAGTGGTGGTGTGGACCGTATAAAACTACGAAAAATTTAAAATGCTGTCGACCCCAAATTCATTGCCGCACGACGCGATTTTATACAAAAACCAAGTGATACGGAGGAACCTGTGTAAAAAAATAACAACAAGCATCGCGAAAAATGCCCCTCGAAAGTTGACCCTGCGACACGTAGGCGCGGGTATTTTAATTCAAAGCATACAAACGCCAAGTCATTAAATACTGTCGGACCGGACAGGCCATGTGGAGTCGGTCCCACTCTTGCATATGTCGCTGCCAACTTCAAGGTGGAAATATTATATTGCGTTGCTCCAATATATATTGGGCGCATTGTATGCCTGCGTCAATTAAATGCGTGTCTACAGTGCTGACCATCGAAGCGCGGCTGTCCGTGCAGCGAGATGGGTACGTTTGATGCGATGGGATGTCGCTTCGAATATCCAAGGTACTCACATACAAAGATTACGCTGTCGCTCCTCGCGACCACGTATGGTTTATATTGCAGCCACCGCGCGCTATAGCATCAATACCGATATTACTCTTCAATATAACCTTTCACGACGGGGATGACAACGCCCGTTCCATCGTACTAGTGCATGGTCTAGGGTCCACTGGGTTGGACGACTGCTCGTTTTCTTGTGGACCGAATGCGAGTCATCGACCTCGCACCCGTCGCACGCGACATGCTGATGGGACATGGGCGGCTGCCGGCACCACCGTCATCTCGTGCTGGCGTCGGATTGGTCGGCTCTGCGACGCTGCCCGTCCAATAATCTGTCCAACACAAAACACTATTCGTATATTGTTTTAGTGTACATATATCCAAATTACTCTGATGTAAGTACCATCGCAATCGACTGGCCGATCCTCCGCGCGTGCGTGCTCCACACCGTCTGGCTTGCCCGCAACGACCGAGTCTTTCGCCCCGAGGCGCCCCTTGTGACGCCTGAGGCAGCCGCCCAACGAGCCGCGTTCTTGACCAAGCTGCACCTCCAACACCTGCTGCTGAACACTCAAGCATTGTGCCTCTTCCACATGATGGCCGCCCTGCGGCACGACGCATGGCTACGCGACAACTTTGTTCCGGCATGTGCCGTTTACACGCCACGTCTCCCGCTCGGCTAAGCCTCTCGGCGGCCGGCTCATCGAAGCACCTTGGAATCGATAGTCCACCACCATATCCAGTTCAGTGTAAATTATATCTAAATAGACTCACTTCAACAACAACCATCGCAATCGACCTCCAGGGCGGCTGGCCGTGTGCGGCGACCGGTTGAGTCGTTGTGTCCAGCTGTGCGCCCGGATGGCCAGTTTTGTGTCAAGTGACGCGGCCCAGCGAAGGTTCGCGACTTGCGCACGGAATTCCCACTGCATTTCACACCCCGCACAAATCACACGCGTGTTTTTCGTTGGATGACACGACGGCGATGACGAGAGTCGGTAGACCGGTATGAGTCATACGACCTCTCGTCAGTGGACTCGGACCCTATCCTCCGACGCTCCAAGAGAAGGCCAATACCTACCGACGAGGACCTCATTCAAGACGCCGTGTCACCATCCAGTTTGGCACGACATAGCGTCCCCTACCCCCAGGCTGCGAATCGAGTCGAGAGATGGACAACTTGTCATCATGACGCTTTGAATTACGACACGCTGTGGTCCGGTCGCGGCGTGTACACCACGTGGTACGACACGACGGGGGTTTCCTGCGCGACGAAGGCGTCGATGCGGGCGGCGGCCGTCGACGTCGAAATGTCCATGGGCTGCGCCAGCGCCGCCCGCGACACGGCGATCGTCGCGTCGAGGGCTTCGTCGTCCGCGACCAGCGTCACGCGGACGATATGCGCGGTGCGGTCGTCGCCAAGCGGCCAGCTGTACAACTGCAGGCGGATCGTGTCGCCGTCGACGTCGCCAACGTAGTCGCCGTGGCTCAAGCCCGCGACTTGGCACAGCGACGACTCGCCATGAGGCAGCACGCGAAACACGTGGCCGACGCCGTCGAGCTCAAAGACCGCCGGGATCGTTTCGTACACGGCGAGCGCCGACTGCACCTACCATACGCGTCTCGGTCCCAATTCAAATACGACATGCGAAGAAGGGCGTACCGTAAACGTCGTCTCGTCGAGGCAGGCGTCGAACGCAAAGCCGATCAAGGCGGCGCGGACGAGCGAGAGGAGCGCCGGGTCGTCGACGTCCGGCGCATACGTGTGGGCGACCGTCTGCCGGTAGGTCCAGTGACGCGTGAAGACCGACGTGGCCGGGCGTGGCGGCGTCGGTGCCGTCGCCTAGATCGTCGTGCGGATTCCTCATCTTTTTCAACATACCCAGTGTACCAAGAAGACTTCGCGGAGCTGCGCGACAAAGTAGTCGAACCCAGGACTCGCTTGCGCGTCCATCTTGTGGAGCTGCGCGAGCTTGGTCTGCACCGGCCGCAGCTCGTCAATCTGCGACGAGACCTGCACGATGCGCGCGACGAGCTGCGTCAGGTTGGTCTCCGAGTGCCGTCCAAGGTGCGAGACGACGACGCCGTGGATCTCGGCAAGCCACAGCGCGTACGCTTCGTAGAGCTGGTCGCGGTTGAAGAGCACGGACACGTACGTGCTGAAGAGGCGCGGGTTCACATCCAGGAAGAAGTCGACGACCGAGCTGAGGATTTCGATGCAGAGGATCTGGATCGGCTCGACGTGCGACATGGGGCGGCGGGCGACGCGCGAGGCCATCAGCGGCGGGTGCTCGGCCGTCGTCGCCTGAAAGCGCGCCAGGAGCGGGCGGAAGAGTCGACTCGTAATGACGTTCCGAACCCGCGCCTCGGTCAAGAAGACGGACGCAGGGATTTCCTGTACGAAGAAGAGAAGAATCGCCAGCTGGCACTCGGCGAGCGAGATGCGCGGCGTGTACACAGTCCCCGACGCCGCCGACGCCAGCGAGAGCGACGACGACGGCAGCGGCGCGTTGAGCGCGCTGCGCCTCAGCGCCGGCGTCTCGGGCAAGAGCCCTTCCGAGACGTTGAACTCGCCTTCGCAGTGGCACGCGTCGCTGTCGCCGGAGGCGGGCTTGGCCTCGGACGGCTTGTGTTTTGGCAGTAAAAGCACGCGCGGCGATACGACATGACGATGAACGGCGGCGACGGCTGTACCGCGAGCACGCGGAAGACGGACGCGGAGGTTGGGCGCAAAATGTAGGCCTAGTCGGCATATATCACCTCGGCTAAAATCTGACTGGTGGGTACGACGAGGTAGTGCGTGCACGTGCGGTGGGCCTTGGTCGACGTGCCCATCCAGCCGTAGTGCCACCCGACGCTGTTGTTGTGGTTGAAGCGGAACGAGAGCTCTTTGTTTTGCTGCATCGTCCTTGTGAGCGACAGAGTATTCGATGCGCGACGTACCGCGTTGTACTGGCCCATGTGGCTCGGGATCCAATCGCCCTTCGGGTTCGCGAGGCTGCGCACATCGTCGAGCACGGCGCGCTGAGCAATCTCGTGGCCTGGCTGCAGCAGCGCGTCCGTCGTCGTGTGGAAGCGCAGGAACGCCACGTCGTCGAGCGCCTCGTGTGCGACGTTCGAGACGCGGATGCCCAGCGACGTCGTGCAAAAGTTGGTGAACGAGTGCTCGGGGCAGCAGTGCGGAAAGCACCTACGCCAGCCTCAGCGCCATGCCATCCACTATAGAGATACCGAATGTACTAGACACGGTCGGGTACAAGACTGGCATGAGCTCGACCTATGACGACAAGCTCGCGTACCTTGACACTGCCGGCGCGGTGCGTCCTAGTAGCCTCCGTGTGAGCGCGCCATCGCTCGCGGCGTTGCCGTACCGCAGATACTTGAGGCTGAAGAGCGTCGCCGCGTTGCACGTGCAGTCGTCCTTCATGAACGAGATTGTCCAGGCCATGGTCGTCTGCCGAGGTGTGGTCCAAAGGCCAACTAACGTTACGGAGCCGGCGCCGCGTATCCGGATTGATCCGGCCGCGGAAAACTGTCCGTGTGCTCTTGGTTTCAGTATGGCCCGCCACCTGTCCAATCTCGCCGTATCCGGCCAATTCCCATGTTAGAGTAGTGCACAGATAATTTGCGCGCACAGCCACAAAGCGCATAGACATGTGTGGTCCAAACGCCACCCACCAACTTGGATTGTGTACTGCACAAGGCAATTCTTACCCGGCACGAACGGGCGGCGGTAATCACGTCCGCAGAGATTGGTCCGGTGCTTTGATCGATCGTCCAACGCAGACAGGCGACCGATGGGGCGCGTCAGTGCTCTGATTCAAGGTGCCAGCCAAGACCAAGCTTTGGGGGATTGAGGGCAAGGCTATCTGGGCGGAAGGTTCCAAGCCTCTTGCCGGCATCATCTCCGCCTGACACCAAGGCTGGACTACCGGCCACCTATTTGATGAGCGCGGTGGCACCGGCGCTCCGTCCTCGGACTGACGTGGCTGGAGACGCCTCCCACGGCCAAAGAGAGAGAGAAGTGCCAGAGAGAGAGGGCAGAGTCTTCACCAGGTGCAAGTGCAGCAGCCACAACTTGCGACACGCCCAGAATATCGAAGACCTGAGGCAGTCGATGGAACCCACCCGTTTGAAACAGCCGCATCGCGTGTTGCTCGCGAAGGCGCATACCCTCTGGAAGCGCATCCTTGACACTGCAGCGCTGCTACTATTAAATACACCCACGCAGTCCAGGGACAAGCTACGTTGTCGTTGCCGTCGTATCACCAGTACCTGGGAAGTCGCTTTGCTCGTCGCAGCTCATTGTCCGTGCCTCGACTTCTGCGCCGTGGTAGCAAAACCGAGCTATCTTTCGATGGACATGAGACCTCCAGGCCATGTAGCCTTGGTGCTTCCGCTCTGGGTGCACGACTGCAATTCGTGGACCAGTCCGCGATACCCTAGTTCCATGAAGCGTCAGAAATGACATCTAACTTCGACTAATGGATAGCTCTACGGTCAGATAGCTCGTAGACACAACGTACATGGACTCGTGCCACATCATACGTGGCGGCCGCTCGTGCTTAGCCGGGCGAGTGCAGCCTGTAGACAGTACCAACGCGAGACGTCAAGTTGCTGCGTCAACAGACCGTGGTGGAGTTGTTAAGGATATACCGGTTGAGCATCTTCGCACGCGTAAGAGTATCTTGTTGTCCAGACTACGAACTCGCTCGACGATCTGTGTGGTTCAGATTGGAGCCCACACTACCCTGCTAATCACACGGTGCGTCTACGCGACTATGTCAGCATTGAGCCGGCAAATGATCGTGCAGCACGCTGACAACTCGTCGGCCTTCAAAATACCTCGTCGCCATGTACTCCAGAGTGTCTTTCTCGAGCCAAGTTTGCACGAGAGATCGCCGAACAGAGTGGCTCTGGCCGTGCGCATGCATGGCGAGCGCTGTACATTGTGTGCGGCGTCTTGGGATGCCTGCACCTTCTTTCAAGACAAGAAGGGGGTGCTAGTCCGCGCTCCCTACCAAACCTTTGATTGATACAACAAAAGAGCTCCACACACCATTGCGCCTTGTGCTTCATCACGTTACGCATGATACCTATCCGCGTCGAATGAATGCGAGAAAACCTCTCGAGTGGACCTCATGTTGCGCTACGAGCTTGGAATTCCCAGACAATATGATCTGGTTGGTACTAGTTCGTCCTCGCACACATACTGCATACATAGAGTGGGCCGCGCAATACCCGATGCATGAGCTAGCCACGACGTCGTGCTGACATTTAAGGCCCGAAAGCTCGGGCGTCTAGGTAAAGGCGGAGGATCGGCGTCTACCTTAGAGTCACACCTCAGAACACCATAGAGACGACGAGGGACTAGTACGTGGGAGGCGTCGGGGTCTTCGACCTCATGATTGGCGCCTTGGCTGCTGGCATGAGAGCGGTTGACACACTTGACGAGGCGCGGCGGTTTCAGCTCTTGGCAAAAACTGGCGTTTCGCGTTTCAGAGCGAAAGTGCAATGCCCAACGCCACCTCTTCTGCTTGGAGTCGTCGTGGATCGAGTGCTATGGTAATGCAGTGACTAGTGTAGAGTTACGGCAATTCTACGATTCTAGAGTTACGGCAATTCTACTGTTTGTGCATCGAAAGATGGGCGCGGGCCAGCGAGGCGTCGTGTACTGACTGACTGACTGACTGACTGGGTCCATGGTGGCAGTTAGATGGACGCTTGGCCGTTTTTAAAGGGCACATATCCGGACAAGAGTCGACCCGATGCATTTGCACTAAACGAGTACAGCAGGGTGGCAACCTGCGGCAGGTATCTGGTGGTCGCGATGCAGGACGGTGGTTGCTGCTGCAAATCCCACCAGCGCAATTGCCATCACAAACCAGAGACGTTGTGCCGCGACAAGAATGCCGAGATGACGCTGAAGGGTTACGGGCTTCATATCCGACGTCGATGATCCAAGCTCCACCTACCAGTTTGCGATTCTTTACTTGGTCAAGGCAGTCCTTGGAGGCGATTCTGGCTCCGTCCTTAGCGGCTCGCTTCTGGTGATTGTGGACCAAGCACACGCTCACCTTGATTGCTCACGAGTCTATCAAAACGCCAGGAGCGGAGCAGCGGCATCGTCAGGCGATCTGGAAAATGAAAATGTGAGGCGGATTTGAGCGCCGCCACCGCTTTGGCGAGATGCTGCACGAGGCATACGCGTGCGCGCAGAGGTATTGGACAGCGTCTTGCGCAGGCAAGCGTCCACGAACACCTCGGTCGGCTTCGTCCATAGCTCCTAGCATGCTCTAACAGATCTACAAGCGCTTCTGGAAAGACTGGACGGTGGCATCGTCGTCATTGAGCGGACGTGGCTGTCTCGTCCACCGTGAAGAGTCTTGGATGCCGAGTTGAGTTGGTGTGATCGCAAACCCATTTGTGTTGTAACAAACGAGCAACTGCTTTCACCTGGACACCATAATAGTCGAGCACGGCAGCACTCGACTGAGGACGGACCTGTCTTAGCACTCATTACCGTCACCTCTAGGAGGTTGCAGACACGAGTCTTCGCGGCGCTTCGCAAACCAGTATTACTGTACTACGTCCTCTTCGTCGCGACTACCCAGTTGGGTACCAAGACCCCCGCGATAGCAGCGATGTTGCACGCGAGTTATAACATCAATTGCCATGACCCGCCTTGCGTCTACAATGGACCGAAGACTGCGGGCAATGGCTAAGCACCGTATAATTGGGGCGCCTTCTTGGGCCATCGAGCTTCAATGTCGAAGTGGTCGTCACCGGTTCAAGAGGCGCAGCTGCCCGAATGGAGCGAGAACCTTTCTGGCCCCTCGGACCGAGGCAACTGCGCCGTAGGCTACAACGAATGCCAGCAGCGTGGGCGGTCGGTGACCAACGCGTCGCAGCGATGTCGAGTGTGCAGTTGCCGCTTCAACCATCTCCCGCCTTGTGATGATGTGGACATGCAATAAATAATGGTGTCATCCTCGCCGATGTGTGTTATACCTGTTTAACGCACGCATTAGGATTGGTGCCCGCCACACTTTGGCGTGCGTCCAGTGTTATAACAGTTGCCGCACTTACGTGGGGTGTATCCGGAAGATTCGGTCGGCGCTGGTCATTCGCCATTTCACCAGCATGACCACGTACGGCTCGACGGGCGGCGACAGCCTCATGAAGCAGGCGCGCAAGGCGCACACGGTGCTCGACGTCGACGCCTCCCGCGCCGTGCACCTCGCCAAGGTCGGCCACGCCAGCGAGGCCCATCTCGACAACGGCGGCCACATCAAGAGCGCAGTCTTTGGCGGCCTCGATGGCATCATCACGACGTTCGCGACCGTGACGTCGGTCGCCGGCTCGGGCCTTCCGCACGCGGTCATCCTGATCCTCGGTCTCGCGCACCTTGTCGCTGACGGCCTCTCGATGGGCATGGGCGACTACCTCAGCACGCAGGCCGAGACGGACCTCATCAACCACGAGCGGTCGCGCGAGCTCTGGGAGATGGAGAACTTCCCCGAAGGCGAGAAGGCCGAGATGATCGAGCTGTACGAAGCCAAGGGCATCTCGTCTGAAGACGCCAAGATTGTCGTCGACACGCTCTCCAAGTACAAGGAGGCGTTCGTCGACATCATGATGGTCGAAGAGCTCAAGCTCATGCCCGTCGACGACGACGAGAACCCGTTCATTGGCGGCCTCATCACGTTTGGCTCGTTCGTGCTCTTTGGCGCGGTCCCGCTCCTCTCGTACTTGATCAACTTGCTGCCTGGCGTGTCGCTCACGGGCGACCAAGCGCTCTGGGGCTCGTGCTTCTTGACGGTCCTCACCTTATTTATGCTTGGCGCCGTCAAGGGCCAGTACGTCGGCCAGAAGTGGTACCTCTCGGGCATGTACATGGCCATCAACGGTACCGTCGCCGCCGGTATGGGCTGGGTCATCGGCTACCTCCTCGCGCTCACCGGCGTCCAGGACGTTGTCCTCGGCTAAACGCGCGTCCTTTAACGGGTCCTTTAACGCGTTTAAATATGATTTTCAGCCACCTTGGTCGTTTGCTACATGTCCCGTAGCGTCTGCGTCGCCAGTGCCGTTGCCATCCATTGCCGCACCCGCGCCGTCCGCAATCTTGTTCCGAAGCCACGGGTTTCGAAAGTAGCCCGCGCGTTAAACTCTGTTTAAATGTGGCATTCGCCACCTCCAAATCGAGCAACGCCTCGCGGATGGCAGCAGCGACACCTTGATCCTCGTCGTATATGACAGCAGTACAGTGTACAGTGTACTCGGTCGGTTGGTACAGTACCGAGACCATTCATTAGAGGTGGCGATACCTTTGACGCAAGCGTCGTTTTCCTCCGTGCCGAAAATAAAACGCCGAATTTAACGGCGTTTGCCCTTGGCTTCAACTTGAACCACGGACTAAAACCATGGTTTTAGTCGTGCTTGAACCTACCGCGCACCGCCGGATACGACGAGCACATCCGGAGGAAGAAGATCGCAATGTCAATTTCCTTTTCGTCCCGCGATGCTCAATAAGAAATCAGTGCCCACGTATGGCGCGACGACGTCCGGCGCTGCGCTCGTCAAGCAAGCGCAGCACGCCCACCAGGCCCTCGACGTCGACGCTTCCCGCGCCGTGCACCTCGCCAAGGCCGGCCACGCCAGCGAGGCCCATCTGGACAACGGCGGCCACATCAAGAGCGCAGTTTACGGCGGCCTTGATGGCATCATCACGACGTTTGCAACTGTGACATCGGTCGCTGGCTCGGGCCTTCCGCACGCTGTGATTCTGATCCTCGGGCTCGCGCACCTTATCGCGGATGGCCTCTCGATGGGCATGGGCGACCTCCTTAGCACACAAGCGGAGATCGATCTTGTCAACCATGAGCGGTCGCGCGAGCTCTGGGAGATGGACAACTTTCCTGAAGGCGAGAAGGCCGAGATGGTTGAGCTCTACGAGCGCAAAGGCATTTCGTCCAAGGACGCCAAGCTCGTTGTCGACACGCTCTCCAAGTACAAGGAGGCGTTTGTCGACATCATGATGGTCGAGGAGCTTCATTTGATGCCAGTCGATGAAGACGACGATCCGCTCATGGGCGGTACGCACCTTTGTCTCTGTGGTCGCTTATCTTGCTGTGAGGTCTTGTGACGTTTGGGTCGTTCGTGCTCTTTGGCTCGGTGCCGCTACTGTCTTACCTCGTCAACTTGATCCCAGGCATCACGCTCACGAGCGAAGCAGCGCTGTGGGGCTCGAGCGCGCTCACGGTCCTGACGCTCTTCCTGCTGGGCGCGGTCAAGGTACACTCCTCGATCCTTCTCCGCGTCTATTGAAATGGTCCTAGGGCCAGTACGTCGGCCAGAAGTGGTACCTCTCGGGCATGTACATGGCCATCAACGGCACCGTCGCCGCCGGCATGGGCTGGGTCATCGGCTACCTCCTCGCGCTCACCGGCGTCCAGTTTCTCACATTTGGCTAAGATCTACGATCTAATCTCGCACTTATGTCAGCACCCTCGTAAAGACAGTTGACCAAGTTGTCGTGGCCATTACACTTATATCATTATTGCGCGCGACTGACGCAAGCGTCCAACGTTGATATCCAGGTTTACATAGCACTACGGTTCTATAGCAGCGGTGTCCAGCCCGTCATCGCGTACAAGAGCACCTTCATGTCGACCTGCATGACCGTCGCGAAGCAAAAGACCACGAGAACGACGAGCGCCACCGTTGTGAGCAGGAGCACGGTCGGCGTGAACGGTCGAAGCGACGCCGTGACGAGGCCCGTCGTCGAGAGGAGCGACGCCGGGTCTTCAAGCAGCGACTGGTGGAGCGACTGCTCCATGTGCACGAGCTTAAAGTGGTGAAGCCAGCCATTGTGGCAGCTCACGCTCAGCACGCGGCCGTCGCAGGTCCAGTTGAGGTCGTCAAACTGCGTCGCGTCGCGATCGAGGTCCTCGACGGCGATTTCCTACCGCCAAAGTTGTCAAAAATCAAGTCCTTCACAGGTGCAGTACCTTCCAGTCGGCCATGCGCACGACTTTGATGCACGTGTCGCCGCACGTCGCGACCATGCCGTTGGTCTCGTTGTAGCAAATGGCATGCAAATGGTCGTCGTGGAACTTGGCGCAGTACTGCTCCTGGCCAATCTCGTTGAGATCTATGCGAAAATGAGCAGCCTTCGATGGCGGATACGGTGGTACGGGTCGAGATGATGACGACGTAGCCCGACGAGAAGCCCGCGATGATGTAGCCGTTCCCAAACCACTTGTAGTTGACAATGTTGCCGTACCGCGCTTGGAACGCGAGCTCGAGCGCGTTGTCTTTCTCCAGCAAGTCGTAGAGCAAGATGGTCTGCCCGCCCATGTTGACGCTCAATATGTGCTTGACGTGGCCGCGGCCGCCAAACTGGATCGAGATCGGCGGCGCCTTGATCTTGACCTGGTCCAGCGTCACGCCGCCCTTGTCGCAGATCGTGATCTGGCGGTCCTCGGACCCGAACGCAAACTCGCGCTGGCTGTTCCAGTCGCCGCACAGGATCTTGCGCTTGTGCTTGCTCGCCGCTGCGCGGAGGCCACTGATCGCATCGTACAAGAAGACGTGGCCACGGCTTGTGCCAATCGCGAGCAGCGGCTCGTCCGGCTCGTGCGCCGACTCGGCCTGGCTCGTCGGCGCGAGCTTGTTCCATTTGAGCAGCGTGATCTCCTTGACGCCGACGTCGACGGTCGCCGTTGTCTGCGTCGCCGCTGCCCAGAGAAGCACGGACGTCGCGTTGGCCTGCGCGATGGCTAGCACGAGGCTCGCGGCCTTGGCATCGCGCGAGGGCTGGCTCCACTCGAGGTGCGTGCACATGGACGGCGACGGCGGCACGACCTGGTCGACGAGTTCGCCCAGCCGGTTGAAGATGTGCACAACGCGCGACGTGCCAGTCGACGCGAGAAAGCTTCCGGACGGGTCCCACGCGTACTTGACGGGCCCGACGCCATGGTGGCGCTGGTCGACGCTGAAGAACACGTGCATGGCAGGGTAAATTCGGCACACGCCTCTTGCGCTGAGGCGATACTCTTTATTTCGGCATCCAATGCCACCACCGAGTTTGGCCCATCAGTATGGGCCATGCAAAGCCTTGGCGCCGACACAACGATCACGTAGCTGTACGATTGATACCGGTAGAGCCAGCACCCATGCCTGCGGTGCTGCGAAAAGCGTGTTGCTTGGAGCATGCCCCTCGTCCACGCAAAGTTGCGTGCTGCTAGTATTGGCCAGCGCCACATTTACCATAAATTGTCCACGTGGCAGCACGTGCATCGCGCAGCACCGAGGTACTGTACACTTTGCACTTCCCGATGAAAGTGATCGCAGCTATTATAGTTTACATAAGCTAGTGTGCGATAGCGCCGCGCACAGGCAAGAAGAGCATTGCCGCGTACAACGCGATGTACTGCAAGGGGCCACCGCGGCAGAACGTCCGAGAATCTTCGAGGCCAGCAGCACGGTCACCACGCACGCCCACTTGCCTGTGCTACTATTGTACACCCACCAACGCAAAGCTCCAACGCAAGCGCTCGACCCAATTCTGGATTTCGTCATAGAAAGGGCACACTTGGCAGCAGTCAGGTGCAAAAGGGAGAGCGGTCTCGAAGGCGAGGCGCGCAGTGTCAGGAAACCTTCGCCGCGCGTCCGTGGGAATCTCTGGCCGTGCGCTGCGTGGGGATCGGTGGTAGCACTTGGATTCAGATGCCGTCACCCGGCCATAGAAAACGAAACGTGGCCTGCGACAGACGCGATAGTGGTTGCCATCTGGTGGGCTACGCTGTCTGCAGGTTCCTGAGACCGGCCACGAGAGGTCTTGCGAGAGCGGTCGCCACGTGGGCGTGCAGCTCCCCACGCCCAGCGAGCTCGTTCACGTCCTTCATTTTGCATCTTGCCTTGCAGTGCCTACTCGCAGCATGGTGGCAGCCACAACGACCAATTTCGAGCTTGAAGAGCGCGTCTCGTACATCCGGTCAGTCAACGCGGATGCGGACAATTTTAAAGAGCTCCGGTCGCCGACCAAGTCCATCGTCGAGCTCGAAGACGGTGCGATCGTCGAAGGCGGTGCGCTCGACCTCTTCTCCCGCGAGGCGTTCGGTCTCTTTGCGCAGTACGGCGCGATCGGCGTCATCTACAGCCTCATCCCGTCGCTCGCGTACCCGATCTTCAACAACTACCTCAACATGGAGGGGTACCAGACCGCGTCCTACGGCGTCCTCGTCACTGTCGGCTGGTCGTTCAAGGTCTTCTGGGGCATGCTCTCGGACTGCTTCCCCATCTTTGGCTACCGCCGCAAGAGCTGGATGCTCATCGGGTGGGCCATCACGGCCGCCTGCCTCGCCGTCATGTCGTTTGCATCGCTCGGCAGCCCGTACTGCGACGCGCGCCGCACCGACAAGTGCGGTCTCCCGATGGCCAACTTGACCCAAGCCGAGATCGACGAGTTCTTTAACCTCGACGCTCCGGGCCGCGGCACGCTCTTCATCATCATGTCGATGCTCGTCTCGTTCGGATACGTCATCGCCGACTGCTCGGCCGACGCGATGGTCGTCGAGTACGCCCAGCGCGAACCCATTGCAATCCGCGGCCGCGTCCAGACGGCGATCTACACAGTGCGCACGCTCACGGGCGTCCTCGCGTCACTCGTGCTCTCGTTCCTGCTCAACGGCAAGGAGTACGGCGGCTCGTTCGACTGGGCCGTCGGGCCCAACGTCCCGTACGTCATTTGCCTCGTGCCCTGCGTCCTCGTCGTGCTCTCGACCATCTTTATTCTCCAAGAGCCCAAGGGTGAGCCGCTCGGCTTCAAAGCGTGGGCCGCGCAGTTCTGGGACCTCCTCCAGAAGCGCATCATGTGGCAAGTCTGCGCCTACCGCTTCCTCGACGCGACGTTCCAAGGTATCTCGGCGACGCCCGGCAACCCGATCGCCAACCACTGGGCCAAGGTCGAGCCGCTCAATAGCTCGCTCTCGGACGTCATTGGTAGCTTGATTTACACCGGGATCCTTGTCGCCGTCGGCAAGTGGGGGCTCCACTGGAACTGGCGCTGGACGATCGCGCTCGGTACTTTTGGCGTCATTGCCGTCGACGGCTTTGTGACGTTCATGACGATCTGGGACGGGTACCGCAACCAGTGGTTCTTCACGGGCGTCGCACTCGCCGACAACGTGCCCGGTGGCATCCGCTTTATCATTTCGACGTACTTTGCGGTCGAGATTGCCGACATTGGCAACGAAGGCGCGACGTACGGCCTCGTGACGACGGTCAACAACCTCGCGTCGCCCGTCTCGGCCTTCCTCTACAAGTACATTGACTCGTACTTTGAGGTGTCGCAAAAGGACATTCTTCGCGACGACAACCACGTGCGCTGGGAGGTCACGTACTGCTACTTTATCTCGTACGGCTGCAAGCTCGGATCGCTCCTCTGGCTCTTCCTCCTCCCGCCCCAAAAGGCCGAGATGCAAGTGCTCAAGAAGCGCGGCGGCAAGAGCAAGGTCGCCGGTGTCGCCCTCATCCTCATCTTTGTCGGCGCGCTCTCGTTTTCGCTCACGAGCAACATCATGTCGATCTACCCGTCGACCAAGTGCTACCGCATCGCTGGCGGCAAGGGCACAATCAACGGCACGTGCCCCACGTAGAACGTCATAGTACATCTTTTGCCTTTTGTTCCAATCGTCTTGTGTTTTTCATTACAAGTTGGTTAACACGGCAGTTTACTCAGCGCGCTCGACGAAGTCGGAGCATTGCATGTTGTTCGGAAGTAAAGGGCCGACCGCAACCGTAGTTGAACGTGGACCGAGGATGAGAGAACCATGGACACCTCGAGGCTCGCAAGCACACGAACAAGACAAAGAGGATGACCATCGCCGCCATGGACTGAAAAAGGCGAAGGCGACGCCGTCGAACGTCGGGTAGTAGTAGCAAGGATCAATAAGAAGTGTATTTCTTATTGATCCCCGTCAAGCGGCAGCCATTTCTCGCATTTTGGTTGAATTGTACATTATCCGGAAAAAGACACAGCGTTATGCGGATTTCAGGCGGGACACGAGGACTTAATACTCCCTGCCTACTTGATACTGTACATATTGTACACTGAAGTGGGCTCCAACCGCCGTTCTGGCGCAACTTTGGCACCCCAAGTGTACTCCACCAGTGCGAATGTGACTTGGTCTCGATCCAAGCAACCACCGAACCTCTCAAAACAGATATATCAGTCGCGGGCGACATTGCACTTCCACCATGGCGAGCAACGCTGATGACACGGTGATCGCCGAGTCGACCGTCAAGTTTGACGAGGAGAAGGACAGTGGCGCGGGCTCCGTTGGCACAAAGCGCGTCTTTGTCAAGCGCCACGACAATGCATCGGTCGAAGCGCTGCAGTTGATGACGTTCGCCGCCGACTCGTCCGCCTTTCCAATCCTCGTTGGCACCCTTTCGTCGCCCCCCGGTATTGTCTGCGAGTACATGGACCTCGGTGATCTCGGCAGCTATCTGCACGCGCTGCAGCACCCGTCGTCGCTTCTCTGGCCGGCTCAAGCCCACATTGCATGGAGCGTGGCGACGGCGGTGTCGTATCTCCATGACTACGGCCTTGCGCACCAACGACTGCGCCCCGAGCACATCCTTCTCAGCGCCAACTTTGACGTCAAGCTCTGTGGTCTCAGTGCCATCGTCGCCGAGGACAATGACGGCGACGAGGACGTACGCGGCCTCGGGCGTGTGCTCGACGCCATGCGGACGCGCGCGGCTGAGTTGGCAGCAACCAACCGATTTTTCAACGTTCCGCCGACACCGACGTGGCTACTGGAGCTGGCAGCTGCATGCGTCGACGGCAGCATGTCCATCGTGGACGTCGTCGACGTTTTAGAACGCAACGGCGCCAACGAGGGCGTCGTGTACGAGAACCAGCACCACCAACGGACCTTGACGATCACCAAGAGCTCTGGCGCATTTTCACCAGCGCCGACGATGACTGCACGTGTCTCGAGCGCCCCGTTCACGCCGCAGTCGTCGTTTCTGGCGCCGTCAGCAGTGCTGGACGACCTCCAGTCGCGCTACCGTGTTGCGACCCTCGACGCTGGGTTGCTCACTTGCGGCATGGACGTCGAAGGCACCGACGGCGATGTCGTGCTTCGGCGTGGAGCCTACGACGGCCAGCCCGTCGCTGTCCACATGGCGCGTCAGCTAGGAGCGATCGGACACGGCGACTTCTTGGATCACGTAGCACGACTTCTAGCGTACGTCTGGGCACCTCGTTGAATACCGCGTTGACATGACGCGTAGGGTGCAGCGCGACAAGTACATGCCGCGCGTGCTCGGTGTCTGCCACGTGCCCCAGACGTCGCTGCTCGGATGCGAGCCGCCGCCGCCGGTGCCATGTCTCGTCGTCGATCGGCGAGGTCTCCGCAGCCTGCGTGACGTCCTCGCCGAGTGCCTGCCGTACGCCGGGCCGTTCTACTGGCGCCTCAAGCTCTGGTGTGCCCACAACATCGTCGCGTGTCTTGAGCATCTCCATAGCCTCCGTGTCTGCCACATGAACTTGACCTCGCACAACGTCTTGCTCGACAGCAAGTTTCGGCCGCGCCTCAGCAACGTCGGCGTTGCGCTCACCACGCGCCTTCGCGAGTGCGCGACGCTCGGCACAGGCGCGTCGCGGTGGCACCCCCCCGAGGTCTTTCTCACGAACGCGCAACCGACGCCAGCCATGGACGTCTTCGCCTTCGGAACCCTTCTGTATGAGCTCGAGACGCACAAGCAGCCGCACGATGCAATCGTGACGGACCTCGCACTCGCGACCGCCATCTCCAGCGGTACGAATGTTCACGTCAGCGCCGACTGCCCGAGCGGTCTCGCCCAGCTCGCAGCCGACTGCATGCGCCACGACCCGACGGAACGCCCGTCGACAGCTTCCATTGTGCGTCGGCTGTACGACCTGCTCCACCCAAGCAGCACGCTCGATATGACTGGTCGTCGTGATGGTTGTTGTTTGAGTGACATGTCAAACTCTACTAGGCCCGGCGTCCCTCATGGCTATCGACCCGGTGTCGCTGCAGTTTGAGACCATTGTCGAGATCGACGACTGCATGGAGACGTTCCGTGGTCGCCTGTCGTCCGAGCACGTCTGGATCAAACGTCCAAAGACAGAGTCCACCGGTAACGACCGCGTCGACACGCGAGCTAGCTTCTTCGACGAAGTGAGTCTTTTGCTCCGGTGCGCACGATGCCCGCTGATGGCTCATTCATTTTCATTCTGGCAGGCTTCAAAGCGTGCAGTCACCACACATTGTCAAGCTCCTCGGCGTGTCCAACATGGCGTCGTTGGCACCGACGATGGTCATCGAGCACCCTCGGCTTGGGAGCCTGCGCGAGTTCATCCTCGGGCACACGCTGTCGGTCGTCGACAAGCTCTACTTGCTTCTCGGCGTCGCTTAGAGCCTCGACGATCTGCACCGGCGCGGCTGGATCCACGGCGACATGTGCTCGGAGAGTGTCTCCTTGGGCGATCACCGCCAGCCCAAGCTCGAGCGACTCGGCGCTGCCCGGCACGTACTAGTATGTGAGTCGAATCGCTCGCTGACCACGTTCAGCTGTACGCCGCCCCCGAAGTTCTATCGGCAAACGCGTACTCCAAGGCCTCCGACGTCTACGCCTTCGGATCGCTCATGTGCGAGGTTGACACAGCCACGTCACCGCTCGAGGCAGACACGACGGGCACATCCATTTCCCCGGTGCTCGACCGTGTGAAGCGAGGCACCTTGACCCCGCGACCGTCCCCCGGGTGCCCTCCGGAGTACCGCCGTCTCGCCAACGCCTGCATGACGTTCAATGAAGCCCGAGAAGATTGTCACTGAACTGCAACGCCAAATTCTGGCACGCACCGAGCGGCCAACGGACGAGCTCTTGTCGCGTGGCTCCTACGGGGCGACCCAGGATGACGATACAGCCGGATGTACGTCGATGGCGAGGATGGTACTCGCCACTCAAGGATGCGTAGTGCCCGTGGCCGACAACGACCACTTGGTTGCGTCCTGCGACATGCTTGGCACCGGCAGCTACGCCGTCGTCGTGCGCTGCACTTTCAAGGAAGAGCCGTGTGCGCTCAAGCAGCTGCTGCCACGTATCGCGCGCGACCGCCGCCACCGCGCCAAGTTTTTGCGTGAAATGCGACTGCTCGCGAGGTAAGCACGCCCACTTTGAGCGCCGACGCCTCGTAGCTTGAACGCGCCGAGTAGCGTCTCGTTCCGGGGCACGCGGCACGCGCCGGAGCCGAGCTTTGTCATGGAGCTCGTGGCGCCGGGCGAGAACCTGCGGCTTTGGTTGCAGCGCCGCCCGCCGCCGTCGTGGCGCGCGCGGTGCCGCATTGCGCTCAGTCTCATCGAGGCCATCGCGTACCTGCACACGCAGCAACATGTGGTGCACCTCGACATCAAGTCCCTCAACATCATGGTGCTTGAGGACGATCGCGTCAAGCTGGTTGACTTTGGCGAGGCGCAAGCGCTTGCAGAGGCCACGCCCGAGACCGTCATGGGCGCCGGCACCATCCAGTGGATGGCACCAGAGCTGCACTTTAGCCGCGGCGACATTGGCGCGTTGACCAAGGCCGACATTTACTCGTTTGGCGTCGTGCTCTCGGAGCTCGACGCGCTTCAACTGCCGTTCAGCGACCGCCCATTTGCGAGCGCTTACGCGATCTGGAACGCCGTGGCTCAAGACGACGCTCGCCCCCACATGAGTGCGTCGAGCCCGACGTGGTTCCGCGCGCTCGCCGAGCGCTGCATGGACAGAGACCCGGGGTGCCGCCCCGACGCAGTGACGATTCGAGCCGCTCTCAGCATGCGGGTCCATACTCTCGACGACAACTCGTCTACGCTTTAGACTTTTCTAAGGACCAGTGGACTCGTGGTCGCTCAGCTGTCGATCGACCTTCCGCCTTTCCCGCGCCACGCTGCGGCTGTTGGCGCTGAAGGTAGACCACCCGTGCTAGCTACTTCAAGTGATGCTGGCACCAAGGACGACTTGGCTTGGGCACGTGAGGGCCAGCTAAAGTTGCGTGCGTTTATCCCAGCGCGGCGCCAACCGCCCTGTTCCACGCACGTTCGCCGCGGTGCGGTTGAACCGCGTATTGTATTTCGCGCTCTGTATCTTGACATGAGTATGTAGCATTAAATATGACGATTAAAAACGCGTTTGCACTTATCGTCGGCAAGCTAGATTGAAACGAGCATGGCCGAGTCGATGGTGTTTGGCGACTTCACGCCCGAGGAGGCCAAGACGCTAGGTACGTCGCTGCATACAGACGTCTCGCCTCCTGCGCTGCGTCCAGCGCCGGCCCGCAAGACGTGGGGCCCGATCCCGACGCCGGTCCACGTGCCGATCCCGCGCAGCAACCCGCCGTCGCAGCCGGCAACGCCAACGAGGGCAGCCTCCAAGCCTGCAACACCAACGAGGGCAAGTTCCAAGCCCGCAACCCCGACAAAAGCGCCGTCCAAGCCAGCGACGCCGGTGCAAGCCCCGCCTGCCGCACCGGCGCCCGCGAAGAAGCCCTTTTCGTGGGCGACGCATAGCCTCCCGACGACGTCCACTGTCACTGCACCAACGAACTCTGCGCCAACGCCGGCGGTATCCACACAGGCAGCGCCCGCACCGGCGGCAGTTGCGCCGGGGAAATCCGCACGCGCGAGAGGCCGCCAGCCCGCTGGAAAGGCCGGTGCTCTAAACGGCCGCGTAGCGCCCAAAGCCGGCCCGTCGCCTGTCCCAACAGTAGACACGAAAGAAGAAGAAGCATCGAGCGAGGACCCAGACGCTGACGCGCCACCGCCGTTGCCACCGAAGAAGCCGTTCTCGTGGTCGACGCACAACCTCGCACCGACGTCGACACCAGAAGCTCCTCCGGCGCCGCGCGCCGAGCGCAAGACGTTCGAAGCTGCCTTTGACGACGCGCTGCGGCAACTCGACTTGCACGCTGGCGCCCACGACCTCCAGAAGCGGTAGCGCGCTCTCCTCGTCTCCCGCATTGCTCACGTTGTACTCCAGTGGCTTTCTCAACCAAGGCAACACGTGCTTTCAAAACGTGACCTTCCAAGCTCTCCTCGCGTGCGCCCCGTTCCTCAAGTACACGCATGACCTCGATATGCAACTCACGACGCACTGTAGCCTGCTCGTGTCGATGGCGGCCGTCGTCGACCTCCCCAACGACGTGTACCCGGCGTGGTCGCACATGCTGGCGCTCGTCCATGCCTTCGAGGAGCCGACGCTCGGCCTCCACGTGCACATGCGCAAGCTGCCCAAGAAGACGGCTTTCACGATGCCGAGCTACTTCCTCAAGGCCTTCCAGATGGCCAACGGCATGCAGCAAGATGCGCTCGAGTTTCTTGAATTCGTGCTTGACCAGCTCCACGTTGAGTACGAGCGCAGCGGCTGCGTCTTCCCGAGAGCGCCCAAGAGCGTCCAAGAAGAGGACGGCTGGGAAGAGATCCAGGCCCACGGCCGCGTCGGCGTTGTGCACCACAACATCGTCGACACCGAGTCGCCGATCACACATCTCTTCAAGGGCACGCTGCGGTCCGAGATCCGCGTATGTATCAAGTAGGTATCGAGGTATCAAGCGACCATTTTCGACGTAGGCGGGCCGCAAGGTGAGCGCGTCGACGGTCGAGCCGTTCCACTGCCTGCACCTCAACATGGGCACGACGCCCGAGACGCTGCTCGAGATGATCGAGAGCTCGATGGCCGACGAGGTACGAGCGTGCTGGCCTATCGAGCTCATGGAGGAGCTAGGTGCTCGAGACGCGCGGGACGAAGCGCACGTTCATCGAGTCGCTCCCGAACGTGCTTACGTGCCACGTCAAGCGCTTCACGTACGACCCGCGCCTCGGTCCGCTCAAGCTCAACACGTTTGTCGAGTACCCGCTCGAGCTCGTGCTGCCGAGCAAGCTCTTCTCGCCGGCGCTGCGCACGGCCGACGCCGTCTACAAGCTCTTTGCCGTCATTGCGCATCACGGCATGGAGGCTGTCGGCGGCCACTACACCATGTCGTGCTGCGATGCCAAGGACCAATGGACGTGCTACGACGACGACACGGTGATTCCGCGGACGACCGAGGCCGCGCTGCAAGAGAACGCGTACCTCCTCTTCTTCCAGCGCATGCGATAAGCCGCGTGGCCCATAGAGATGCTTGATGGTACCATGCGTCGCCACCTCGTGGCGCCCTTCGTTGCGGCCTGGAGGGCGAGGAGGGCAGCAGAGCGGGCGAGGCTCTGGAATTCATCTTGGCACGTGTCCCAGAAGCCGAAGGATCTCGAAATCGGAAGCGACTAAACGTGGCCTTTCGACTAAAAGGGTTTTGCCCATTGTCCCATTGTGGGACAAACGCAAGATCGCAACAAGTTTGGGATTTACTACAATTTACGACGCCTCGTCGCGGAGGAGCGCGAGGCAGGTCGCAGCCACGTTGGACTCGAGCAGGATGCGCTGGATCCAGCCGCGGATCTCGGCGTCGTCGCAGCTAATGCACGCGCAGAGCGCCGGGAAGAGCACGAGCACGTTGCGCGGCGAGAGCGGACTCGCGCCCAGCGTCGAGAGGAGCGTGACGACGCGCTCGCGGTGCTCGGTCGGGCGCTGCTGGTACGCACCGAGGGCGTCGTTGGTGAGCGAGAGGAGCTCAATGCGGCAGGCCTGTCGCAGTGGTCCGTTCGTGTTGGCCACCGACCCGAGCGCGATCAGGTGCTGGACGCACGCACTCGCCACCGACGGCCGGCGCCCGCTCGACGCCGTCAAGAGGTCCATGAAGCGCGCCGTCCCTTCCGCCGACGGCGGCACGCGCCCCACCATGCTCTCAACCAGCGTGTCGAGAACGTTGAGTTCGAGCGTCTCGTCGTCGTGGTCGTCGTCGCGCCGGGGCGCCGGGCCGAGCACCGTCGCGATCGTCGCCAGCAGATGCGGTGCCATCTTGGGCGCGACGGGTAGCGCATGCGTCGTCAGCGCCTGGAGGACGGGCACCGCGGGCCGCCAGAGACCGAGGGCGGCCTTCTCGGCACTCGTCAGCGTCGCCATGGTCGTCGACACGTCCTGCGTCTTGGTGTCGAGACTCGGCTGGATGCTCTTGAGCATCTCGCGCGCCGTGGCCGAGAGCGCACTTGAATCAATGCGCTCGATGAGCTTGGCGAGCGTGGAGAGCAGGTGCTTGATGAGCACGGTGATGTGCAACGTCTGGGCGCGGACGAGGAACCGGAGCACTTGCGCGACGACATCGGGGTGCATGTCGGGTGTAAAGTACCCGCAGTCGTCGTACGCGTTGAGGATCCGAGCGTGCACCGAGTTGGTCGTGCCGCCAGTGACCGTCGCGGGGCTCGAAAACACGTAGGCGTCCATGCACGCCTCAAAGAGCTCGAGGATGACGGCGACCCGGGCCGCCGTCTTGCACTCGTGGTCCCGACACTGGTTGTACAGCTGGACAGTGGCCAAGACGACGGCGGCTGCCACGTCCGCGTCGTGGTCCGTCGCCGATTTGGCCGCCACCGACAAGAGCAAATCAAACGCGTTGTCCCAAATGACAGCGGGCGTCGGCGGCATCGGTTTGCGCGCCGATGCAGTCGACGCGGTGGCGTCGGCGGGCGCGAGAGAGCCGTCGACCATGCGCATGCCAACGCCGGCGCGCAACGGTGTCGCCGACGCATCGACGCCGTCGACCGACACGACTTGGAGGAGCATGTGTAGCGTCTGGACGGCCGCGAGGACGACCTCGGCGGACGCGTGCGCCGCTTCCCGCGCAATGTAGGCGAGGAGCGCCGACCACATGTTGGGAAACCAGTCGCTTAGCGCAATGAGCGCGCCGCCGTGCGTCTGGACGACGCGGGCGAGCCCCGAGAGCACGAGGACCCGCGACTCGTCGTACTGCTTGGCGACGCTGTCGCGCGAGTGGTGCGTCCGCAGACCCGGCGTCGCCACAGCGCCATCGTCGGGCACGGTCGCGGTGCCGAGGGTCAACCCAAGCGGCAAGACCGTGTCTTCGAGGCAGAGCTGCCACTCGGAGAGCTGGAACTGCGTGCCGTGGGTGACCGCCATCCCAAAGAGCGTGTTGATCGCGCAGTTGCGCACCTCGGGGCGCGGGTCGGACGCGATGCGACGGAGCTCGCCTAGTGCTCTCGGCCAGAGCTCGTCGACGTCGGTGGCTTGCTTGGCGATGGCGTCCGAGATGCTCCAGAGCGCGTTGACGGCCGTGAGGCTCACGTTGACGTCCTTGGCACTCGAGGCAAACGCGCCAACACACCCAATGCATTCTCGCCGGTACGTCAATGGCATGCTTCCGAGGAGGTCGTCGACAATGAGCCGGACGCTCTTGAACGCAACGACTTGGCACCGGGCGTCCAGTGCGGCCGACGATTGCAGCGTTGCCAGCACCGTGGGCCAGCCCGTCGTAAGGAGGTGCCCGCACGCCTGTAGAAAGTCGAGGACGCCGGCGAGCGCCCGCTCCTTCATCGTCTCGGACGCCAGCAGCTGCAGCATAAAGCCACACACGTCTTCTTGCGCCATCATCGTGGTACTGCTATTGCTCGAGGCGACGGCTGACTGCATGAGCTGGAAGACCGCGTCGGTCGTAAACGCCTGGAACGACGCGCCGAGCGACGATGTTGGTGCGCAGCTGAGCGCAACGAGCTCGCGGATCACGTACGCCCACGCGGTCGGGTGTTGCTTGGCCAGTTGCACGAAGAGGCGGATGGCAAACGACGGCGTGAATGGCGCGCCGGCCACGGTCGAGAGCCCCAACGTCTGGTCGTACAGGCGCAGATGTGTGCTGTACGGGATCGAGACGACGTCCCAGGCGAGCATCGCTTCGTTCTTGGCCACGTCTGCGAGCGCCGACGCGAGTGCAGCGTCGTCGGTCGCCGTCGTCGGTGCATTGTCGTTGGTGTCGTCGTCACATGTGGTGTCGAGCGTCGACGTCTGGAGCTGGCCAAAGCAGATGCGCTGCAGCGCCCGCAGCACATGCAGCAGCGCGTCGTGGCCGAGGATGCCGTCGTTGGTGCTGTTCTGAAAGTACTCGGTGACCGAGAAGCCGAGCATGACGAGCTGCTGCTCGACGTCTTCGTCCTCGACCTTGAGCGCCTGCGGGCCCGTGCCCATCTTGGTGTGCACGCCCTTGGCCTTTTGTTTGAGGTTGCTCAGCGCGACGAGGATCTCGAAACCTTCGAGGAGCACGCGCCACTCGGGCGTGTTGAGGTCGTTCTCCATCGTGTGCACGGACCGGAAAAGCGTCTTCATGGCCTGCACCTCTTTCCACGTCAAGAGCGGCTCGTCCAAGTGGAACACCAAGTCCTCTTGCAAGTACTCGACCATGCTCGGGTACCCGGCTCCCGAGACGCACTTGACGACCCGCGACGCTGGCACGACCGGAAACGAAAACACAATCAGCGTCTGGAGACACGCCACGCCCACGGGTCGGCTCAAGGCCGTGACGGCCGCCGGCAGGTGGCGACGAAGGCTCGCTTCGGCGGCGGAGAGCCCGTGGAGCGACTTGAGGGCGAGGTTGACGAGCTCTGCGTCGCGGCAAAAACGCAGGAGGCATGTGGACGCATTCAGCACGAACGGCGCCATCGACGTGAGCATGTACTGCCCCGTGAGCGGCACCAGCGACGGCGTCGCGAGCGCCGACACCATTTGCGCGAGGCACACCGCGCTGAGGCGCAAGCAGTGGTAGAACGGCTGCAGCGTCGGCGTCTCGACGTCGTTGAGGTACTCGAGCCCGCTGCGGTAGAAGGTCGTGTCATGCGACGGCTTGTAGTCAGCCGGCGGCGACAGCGTGACGACGGCGGCCACGTGGCGCGCGACTTGCAGTAGTACGTGTTGCGGGTACAGCGCCAGCGCCGGGAGCACTTCGGGCTCGTGGCACGCCTTGGAGACGACTTCCATCGCCAGCAAAACAGGCCACGTGACATAGTTGATGGTCACATGGTGCGCGGGCGCCGGTGGTACCGAGGGGCCCGCGCTGC